AACTGACTGACAGGTGAACTGACTGACTGACTTATGGACTGACTAACTAAATGAGTGACTGACTGATTGACTGACTGGCTGATTGGTGATCAACACACAGCCCAACCTCTATGAACTAATAAGCTTTAATCTTTTGTAATGGAGGTCCACGCTTCGCGAATATTCCACCTGCAATTATGGAAAGAATTTTGACACTCTATGTAAAATCCGCCCCTCTTCGATAATAGGTGCGTGTAAAAGATTGAATGTTTTGAATTTATGCTAATTTGCAAAGCAAAGAACTTGGACCTGGAAACACCAGCTAGCTTCATATATATAATTCACAGATTGAACAATCAGATAGAGTATTTGAATATTGTAAACAAATGAATGTGATTTTGATTGATTGCCTGCTCGACGGGAATACGAGTAGAGGCCTTCATTAAAAAAACGGGTGTTTGTTAATAAATATAAAGACGAATATATTAAATATGCGTTGGCCAATATAATAATTACTTAGGTGAATAATTTCGAATAGTTTAACATAATTAAAACGAATAGCTTCATTTACACCATGAATCAAAAGGGCCTTCAACAAATATTCAAATATATATATAATATATAGGTATATCTGTTTTTTTTTTTCAATTTTGAATATATTTGCATAAACTATAGGGAAAAGTTTGCATGACTGGACGAAAATATTCATTGCTTAATTGTGTGACTAAAGGTTTAAATAATATTGAGTGCATTACGAGTGCATTCGTTAAAGCAAATGTCAAATTTCAATGAAAGAGGCCAAAGATTCAAACAACGAGAAAGTTGCAAAATGTTTTCACAAGCAACAATAAAAACCGAATTATTTATTAGCTGAAAGAGCATCAAATGCAACAACAACAAAAGCGACACGTAAAACATTGCATTTTGGCGTGTTTGTTAATTAGGCAGATGCACACATATGTTAATACATAAATAATTCGAAATCTAAATCGGCTTTCGGCCTTTTTTTTGAGCATGTTTTTCGTATTTGCATTTATTTCTTTCACTTTGGCCCTTTTGTTAAATGCGCTTTGACTTTAAATGCCCGACGGAAATTTGCATAATTAAATTGTTTAATGTGGTTTGCCAATTTAGCACATTAAAGATTCAAATAGGAATTAACCAATCAACTAACTCAGCCCAGCTGTCACATACCCTATAATCGGCTTGTCTGCCTTGCTACCGCTAAGTAGCTTAGTTTCTTTTTTTTCGCGCACTCTCAATTCGTCTTTTTTGGTGCTGCCAGATGTTGTTTCAATTGCAATGCTTGGCAGCACTGCAATTCTTTACACTTAACAGGCAGATAAACTGCCTGGTAAACTATAAGCAACTATAAAAATAACTATAAGAACTATAAATATAAATAAAAGTAGACCTTAACTGAGTCAATTTGATAGCCATTTTAATGAAGTCAACTCCAGCTGTTAGACTGTCTGTTGAAGACTTAAAAAGCCGAATACGATTATATTTATCTAAGAATAAAAATATTAAATTTACAATTTTGAAAATATAATATTAAGTAAACCTATTTGTATACCCTGAAATGGGTAAAAAAATGTATAATGTTTTTGTGCAAATGAATGTTACCAGCAGAAGGAAGCATCTACTACCCCATAAAGTATATATATTCCTGATCAGCATCAATAACCGATTCGATCTAGCGATGCCCGTCGATCTCAGAACATATACGAGCTATACATATCAGGCATCTTTCATTTTATAGCTTACCCTAACCTCCCCCAGCTAGAGCTGCATTTGGTGTTGGTAGAAAAAGGTTCAGGGCATCTCCTAGTCGGGCACTCCCGTCTGGAGCGCTCTTGTTGAATATATGATCTACCAAAAACCAACTCTTACCCTGCTATCAAATGTGTCCCAATATTAAACATAATATCTTTCTACCCATGCAAAGGGTATCTGCTAGTGTCATACTATCAGGCAGATCATTTTTACAAGCTGTAAGTTGTGCGAAAATTAAACTGGTTCAGCGCTGGGCCAACATATACATATATATTTTTTTGCACAGCTCTTGGCAATGACTGGGCAGATCATCTGATCCGCAGCCACTTGTCGTTGAAGTTGGAGACAGAAGTTAATGGCTTTGGATATGGTTGACTGCCGGCGACCACAATACAATGACTGTTGATCTGAGCTTGTGGCATGGTATCGCATACGGGCTTATCGGCTGGCGCCGCAAGCGGGCGGGCGGCGTGATAAATTGCGGCGCTGATTGGAGGCAAATTAAGAGCCGTGGGATTAAGTGCGACAAATATTACGACATTAGACGACTTCGGGGCACGCTGGGCTGTCTGACAGCTGGACTTTCGAACATGAATATGCATTCCAGCCCCGTCGTAATGCCCGCAGCTTACATTTGGTTATCGCATATGTTTAAATGTGGAAATTTCAAACATTTTCAAATTTAATCGGAATCGCATTGAAGCTATTTTGTGCCCTTCCGGCGATTGAAATATTTCTTTGTGTTTGTTTTTACTCTGGCATTTCTTTCATTTTGTAAATATTTAAATTCTGTTTCATCAGTAGTCTCATATATTTTTACTGTATACGTGTATAAATAATATTTATATTATGCCTGAATTTCTGTTGCCCGAAAGTTTTTAAAATGTCACAAAAGAAATAAAACGAAAAAATGTTAAGTCATGTGAAAGTATGCTAGAAAAATATATGTATAAAAGAAACTATGTCATTTGCAAAATAAATATTTAAGTCAAAAGTACACGACTAAGAGTTACCCTGTAAGCGGCAGTCAAATTATATTATATTTAATTTAATTAATTTTTTTTTTAATTTAATTTAATTTAATTATATGTAAATATTAATAAATTTATGTAGGTATATTTTATTTTTATGAAACAATTTTATATAAATATACTTTATTTTTAAATAAACGAATTTTATTTAAAATGTAAATTTTTGTTCTATTCATATAAATATATTTATTCATGAACGATTTTAAAGAGTTTGAGTATTTTTATACCCGGAACCCATTAAAAATGGGTATAAGGGTATATTGTATTTGTGCAAAATCCAAATGTATGTAACAGGCAGAAGGAAGCATCTCCGACTAAAGTATATATATTCTTGATTAGCATAAATAGCCGAGTCGATCTAGCCATGTCCGTCTGTCTGTCCGTTCGTCCGTCCGTCCGTATGTATGAACGCAAGGATCTCAGAACCTATAAGAGCTAGAGAAATTGAATTGAAATTTTAGATGTAGATGCTCCTAGTTCCCGCGCAGATCGAGTTTGTTTCCGATAATCGATAACATACTCCGTTTCCAAGCAATCGATAAGAATCGATATCGATATCCTGTTTTTTGGGCAATTTTGGTAAATAATAAGAGCTAAAGTCACCAAACTTGACATATAGCTTCTTAAATAGAATATATATATGCATTTGATGTTGGAAGAAGAGGGTTCAGGGTATTCCCTAGTCGGGAGCTCCCGACTAGAACCTCTTACTTGTTATCTTAAGACTTAAAGATCTAGAATAGCACTTGCGATTATATTTGCACATAATTTGCCTTAATTGAGATATATTTCTATGGATGTCTAAAGAAAAGTAACACATTTTTTATGGATGAGCCAGAAGCAAATATTGCAATTTTCAGAAATTATTTTACAAATTTTATTAATTCGTAAAATATCAAACAGTAATCTCTTAAGATTTTCGGCATATGAAAAATAACTTCCCCAGCTTTGTTTTATTTTCCAAAATTCTTTTCCTGTAACAACAAACAATTCAGTTGTTTGCTAACTACGCAATGTGACTGCTCTGCCTTTCAATTTTAACAATTAAATGCATATTAAATAGACGACTTAAGAAGAAATAAAGCATGTGCAAGTCCCTTTATTATATGATGCTTTAAATTAAAAAATAAATTTAAAAAAAATATGAATTCCATACAACAAGAACTAGGAAACATTAAAAATAATATTTATGGCTATAAATGTGGGCATCTATATAGTCTGATGTCTTGAAGAATTTTGGTTACCAATATTTTACTATTTTATATATTTGTAAGAGACAATTTTATTAACCAAGCCAAAATAAAAAGCGCAAAACCAAATATTCAGAATTCCTAAGATTGTAAGCTCTCTAATTAACAATATTGGTTTTATTTAAAAAAAAAATTCTTCGGTTTGGTTTTGGACCAAATATTTAAAAAAAAATGCTGAAGCAAACCAAAAATAAAATTTCTGTGCATTGATATTGGGTTGGAATTAGCTTGACGGAGATTTCTGGATATTTTTGGAAAGATAAATAACACTTTTCAAAGAGTTTAATTTGGAAGTTGGGGCTGTGACGCGGCTTAAGGTTAAATGCTGCCGGTTGACTCCATATTGGAGCATTAATATTAAGTGGTCTCAACAAATTGAACAATATTTTGACATATATATGATGACATATAAAAATTCTCAACCCTTTGTTCTTAACATGCATATATGCAACATCTGACAGCTAGCCATAAATAAATAAATTTGGGATTTCACTAAGAGGGAGGTGTGTCATCGCCCGAGCAAAGCTTGGATGTGGAATATACGTATGTATAAACATAGCAATACTATAATATATAGTATATGTGTGTGCGTGTGTGTGAGTGTGTGTGTGTGTATGCAGATTATGAATGTTACAAATTTCGATAGCAAGTGGCTAGGATTATAATTTCTGGCTTATACGCATTAATGCATACATTAATAATTTATAGCTCGGCTATTTGAGATCGTGAACTTGTTTTTGGGTTCACTGCAGCCGCGCTGACGTTGACGTTAACGTGTTTTTGTTGTTGTTGCTGTTTAGCATCATTTCTCTTTGGATAGCGCTTTTTTTGGCTGCTTGGGTCTGGATGGCGTATAAATAGCGGCCAGCGAGCATAGCATCAATATTAGTAACTGATTAAGCTTTCCAGGCTTAACTTCGTCTAACAAGAGCTAAAGCTAAACCCAAGCAGAACCGACAACAAAATGAAGGTAAGATTTGGACAAAAATAAACCAAAACACGGAGCCTTTTAACCATGAAGGAACTTTGACATTTGTCCAGGTGCTTGTTTGCCTGATTGTCTGCGTGAGCCTCGCCCAGGCTGGCTTCATCGGTGGTGGCTACTCCGGCGGTGGCTACTCCGGCGGTGGCGGTGGCCACTCTGGCGGTGCACCCACCATTGTCAAGGTGATCCATGAGGAAGGTCATGGACATGGCGGCGGCGGCGGCTTCGATCATGGACATGGACACGGCGGCGGCGGTGAGGTCAAGATTGTCAAAGTGATTCATGAGGAGGCACATGGACATGGTCACGGTGGCTTCGATCATGGACACGGACACGGCGGACATGGCGCCGAAGTCAAGGTCATTAAGGTCATCCAAGATGCTGGTTTCAGTCACGGTCACGGCCACGATCACGGTCACGGTCACAGTCACGGCGGCGATGTCAAAATTGTCAAAGTAATTCACGAGGAAGGCGGCGCCATTGATCACGGCCACGGTGGACACTTTGCCGCTGACCATGGCCACCACGTCGAGGACGTGAAAGTCGTCAGCGTCATCAGCGAAGGCGGCTACGGCGGCGGCGCTGGCGGCGCTGGCTGGTCTGCCGGTGGTGGCGGCGGTGCTGGCTGGGCTGCCGGTGGTGGCGGCGGCTGGGACTAAGCGGACCAATGTCCAATGGCACAACACAGACTCCCATCTTCCCATACACCGCCATGTGATATGCCAGGCACTCGACTCATTTGTTTCTGTTGTCCGAGTTGAGCAACGGCATTAGCCTTGTAGATGTTGTTACTATATCTTTAAGACATCTTTTTTTTTTTGTGTTAAATAGTTTATAAATTGTACAAAACGTGTTCAACTATGTTGGAAACCAAAAATAAAAAATATTAAAAATAAAACAATTTTTTTAACAAAATCATTTTCTTTGCTGTGCTGCCCAGCGGGTGTCCCCGGGCCATAGCTACATATATCACAAAAAGTTCAGGGTCTTGTGCCCAATTTTCAATGCAGCTCTCCTAATTGTGGTCATAGGAATAATTGTGCATGCTAATACTGTGATCTATCATTAGTCAAGCATCAATTCAATCATTAGCTTCTGATGTTGTGTGGAAAGATCAAAACAATGCTACGATCAATATGTGCGCGCAGAAATTTCTTAATCCAAATTGGGCAGACATATATCTAGCTGTACAAATGATAATGATATACAGCACTGTTATGTAGGTCGGGAGCTTAAATAAGACCCATTAATAGTTTGCCATGCAGTGAAAGGCGTCGTCGCATAACCCACAAATGGACCAAGATAATTTATGTACAGCCACAACTATCATAGACCGAGGCAGTTGTTGTTTCTGTCGTTGCCCTTTCTTTCATTAGTTTTATGGATATTAAGTAACTTTAATAAGCTTTTTTCGCATTTGTAAGATTTTATATGTACCACGCTTAAATTAATGTCAGTGTTGATTACAGCTATATCAATTTATTCAAAAACACGGACAAAAAACTCAAGATTGCCATAGTCGAAGGGAAGCGACGAGCAGCTACCCTACAATTCAGGCCTCAATGCGTTTGTATATACTTTAAATCGGGCTTAAATTGCAATTTTAAAATGTGTCAGCTTTATTTGAGACATGAAAATCGCCTAGAAGGGTGGAATTTAGTAGAGACAGAGAGCAATTTAAACGGCGTAATTGAAAGCAAGAGAATAAGAGAGAGTGTGTGACATCTTATCAGAGACTGAGAATTAATTACACAGAACGCTAAATACAACTTAGGAGTTAGATAGCCTTAATGGAATATATGAGAATTGCAAAGAAAGGCGAGAACAATATGATCTTTATATGAGAAGAGCTGAAGAAAACTTAAGCTATACAAATATTAATTAAGAGCAACCGGAGAGTCGGTCCACCTTAATTGAATAAATTAGAATCGCAAGAAAAGGCAAAACAACATGATATTTATATACGGTAAGTTTAAGAAGTTTAAGTAGGAGTCAGTCAGCGTAAATTGGGTTTATGAGAATCGCAAAGTAAGGCGAAAACAACATGAACTAAATACAGAGGAGGGTAAGAACAACCTGAGTCGCCTTCATTGAGTTTATGTGAATCGTAAAGAAATGTGCAAGCAACATAATCTTCATATGTCAATAGTTTAAGAGAGCATAAGTTATACAAATATTAAATACACAGAACCTAAAGAACAATCAGAGAGTCAGTTGGCGTTTATTAAATGTATGAGAATCTCAGAGAAAGGCGAAAACAACGTGTTCTTTATATGCGCAGAGTTTAAGTGCACCTACAAACTACAGTTGATGTCTCTAGCTGCTTAAGTCGCCGAGTTCGAAGTGGTCATGCAGATAGCAAGAGAAGGCCAACTTCGGATTGCTCGAAGCTCAGATCAATATATACATTTATGTTATGTGCATCATAGTTACCGCTTTTAGCCTGCTAGCCTTTTTTTAGTGGGTATACAATTTCGATCATTAATTAAAAACATATTTGTCACTATCTTTAAGAGATGATTTGCCAGAAAACAAACATGAGCTACGTCCTAAGAGGATTATTTCCTCACGCTTCAGTGATTGACATATCGTTTAGCTATACTGCGTAAAGGTAATAGTGATACAGTTAGGTAAGATTAGTTTTAATTGAGGAAGTTCCCCTGTAAGTCTGGTTTACAGAAAGGTTTGCTCACGTTAATGAGCCCTTCTTCAATACACTTAAGTATCTATTTATAAATATTTGTTTATTTATTTTGTATCATTTCTATAACCACATCCGCTCGACTGTGACTATATGTGAATAGTTAAAAAAAAAGATACGCATGACCTTAATTTTGAATTCTCTCGTTTTATCAATTCCAATTATTAAAATTATGGAATTATTAAAAATATGAGGTAAATGTGTTCATCATCAAATGGCTTACAAATTATGATTATAATCTATTTAAATCGACGTATCTAATCTTTAAATTGCATAATGTTTCGATAATTATAACCAATGTAAAAATATATAAAAAAAAAAAAACAACAAGCTTTGTGCATGTACTTATGTATTAGCGCATATACATATGTCTATATAAATGTCGGAAATATGCAACATGATGTAAATTAGAAACCTGTTTTTGTTGCTTGGGCACAAACCTTAAGACAAAAGGTCCGAACCAACAAGCCAGACGAACCCTCATCAAAATGTTAGCGGCCAGCAGCCCTGAATTAAAGTTATACTTACTCGTAAACTAAACAAATGTACAACAATAAATTTCTGAAACTTGGAAATGTTCAAAATTCATGGATTTAATTTATTTTTGTTTACAATATGATAGCTGCCCAAACACCCAACTTTTCTATCATAGGCAAGAGCCGTTGCTCTGCAACTAAAGGCGAATAAGATGTCGTGACTGCGTGGGATTTGTGGGCTTCCGCGAACTACAAAACGCTGCTGAAGCAATTAACGTAGCGCAACACTGGAAAATTATTTGCCATCTATCAAGTGTCGAACCGAAGGTTCCACTGCGAAGCAGTTAAATTTTGTGGGGGCCAACAATTAATAAGCGTTTCGATTGACCCCATCAACCAGTTTTTGAAACAAAGAGAACAGCCAGCCTGTCGATGTCGAAAATTCTATGCGCTTACACATAAAGTGTACATTAATCTGTTAGATTTGAACAGAAATATATTACATAAACCAAAAATATATGTCGACGACTTTTATAGGAAAAAAGATCTGAGTTTTAAAAAAAAAATAGTAGGAAAAGCAGACGATCCCTAGATAATATATAGGCTTGATGTATGACCTCTAAATATTGAATTTATTAGTCGAGTTCCTGAAGCTGATTTGAATTTGCTACCAGCTGCTTCATACAAAATTAAGGTCACACTAAAGGTTTTAACGAAAAAAGTTCCGAGGCTGATTAAAATTTGATTTGGTTTTTCTTGCGTGTGCGACTATTCTTTAGGAAGGAAATGACATGGTCACATTTGTTTGCCTTCTTTTGTGATAATCATTAAGAATCAAAAATTATAATAATTATTATTATTATTTCAATTTATTATTATATTATTTATAATTATTTTTTACTTAAGACTTCTCCATTTTATGTTTATTGAAACGAAAAAATATATGAAGAAAAAATAAATATTTAAAATATTGAAACACAAATAACAAAAAATTATAAAAGAAATAAAAAAAAACGTAAAAAATTAATGAAAACTACGTATATTATTATTTATTATTTTATAATATTATTTATATGTATACATATTAAATGAATATGAGTTTAAGCCTCGCGTCATTAGAAAGTCAACATACCCTGTTTTTAGGGCACATTATGAAGGTGGTGTTTGATTTGAAGTCGGATTTGGAGTTGGAGTGTTAAAACGCGCTACTTATTCGCTTTTGTTATGTTCGGTTTATGCTTTTTGTGCAAGTTTTTGATGAATTGCATAACGAGCTAATAAAGAGCACCAGCAAAAGCCCCGCCCCACTGCCCCTCGAAGCTGAGCTGGTCCACTCCGCACTCCACACTCCCAGCTGCCGCTGTGAAGGCGTTAGCTGAAGACGAAGATGGCCAAGATGTTGGCAAGAGACAGCTGTTGGTGTCTGCATGGGCTGGCTGTTTGATGATGGCATAATCCGGCCAGAGCATCGCGTGGACAAGCAATTAGAGTGTCATACATTAGCATACAGCTGTGGTCAGCTGGCTCCGGGCAGGGTCGAGCTGGTTTTTGTTGTGATTTTGGCTCTTCGCCTGCGCTGACTGTGGCAAATAAAAGCAACGGCCGTTGCACTGCTACGGCACAGTTGAAGTTCAGCTTTCGTCGTAGTCGCACTTGCAAATCCTAACTCCTAACTACCAGCTCCACACGTACACAGAGCCAACATGAAGGTGCGTCTTGGCTGGCGGCTTAGCTCGAAATCTCGTGGCCGGGATTAGCGAATTTTGAGCATTTTTTTTTTAAACATTTTTGTTTTGTTTTTGCTATTGCTTTTTTGTGCTGTGCTGTGATATTCATTGTATTCATTTTCTGCGCCTGTTTCTGTTCGAAGGTGTTCGTTTGTCTGCTCGCTGTGTGCAGCATGGCCCATGCGGGCTTCCTTGGCGGCGGCAGCGCCCTTAGCTCCGGCGGCGGCGGCGGTGGCTACGGTGGCGGCTACGGAGGCGGTCATGGCGGTGGCTACGGTGGCGGCCATGGCGGTGGCTATGGTGGCGGTCATGGTGGCGGCTACGGTGGCGGTCATGGCGGCGGCGGCGGCGGAGTTAAAATCATTAAGGTTATCTCCGATGGCGGTGCTGGCGGCGGCTACGGAGGTGGCGGTTATGGCGGTGGCTACGGCGGCGGTCACGGCGGAGGTTACGGCGGCGGTCACGGCGGTGGTTACGGCGGCGGCAGCACTGTTAAAATCGTCAAGGTCATCTCCGATGCTGGTGCAGGCGGCGGCTATGGTGGCGGCCATGGCGGCGGCTATGGTGGCGGCCATGGTGGCGGCTATGGCGGCGGTCATGGTGGCGGCTATGGCGGCGGTCATGGTGGCGGCTATGGCAGCTCCGGCGCTGTACAAATCGTTAAGGTCATCTCTGATGCAGGCAGCATCGGTGGCGGCGGCGGCGGTGGCTGGGCACCACAGGGTGGCGGCGGCGGTGGCTGGGCACCCCAGGGCGGCTGGGCCTCAAGCGGCTGGTAAAGAGCAGTCCACACTCGGCCGAGCGCGCGCACCAGATATACCTTGTGGTTAGGTTGTGACACATGTGTGGCCAGGCACAGAGGAGCTTGGGCACGAAACTGGAGCAACCCTTTCACATATTTGTTTTATATATTTTTTTTAATTTGCTGTCGCTACGTTGAACACTCGAATTGTAAATACTCATTACATTAACAATAATAAAGCCTAAAACAAATACATTTTGTTTGATTCCGGGCATTAATTATGCGAACCGGGTGCAAAGACTGCGAAGTCATTTCCTGTGACGACAATCTCTGCGGGATCGGCAACCGAATTTGTTTTCACTGTACAACATGGCTCGCCTTTTGATGGTAAACTGAGATACATTGTGGAATAACACATGTTAACTGTGACAAGAAAGCACACGTAACTTTTTCGTATGGGGAAATGTAAATACCCTGGCATATTAATAAAATATACATAGCTCGAGACGTTCGTAGACTCCAAATGTATTGACTTAGATTCTCATACATAATATAAATATTATAAATATACATAATATACAATAATATAGGCACAAGTGAGACAGTAAATGAAAATAAGAGTCAGAGCAGAGATTAAGTTAATTAAACTAGCAAGACAACATTTGATATTATAACACTTTAAGCCAAAGCTTGGCAGCCTTTAAGTCATACATGAGAATCGCATAGAGAGGTGAAATTAAAAGAAACAAAAATCGTTTGCCTTTTGGAAATACTGCCAACGTTTGTGTATAGCTGGTTGAAAGAGAATTTATTCGATTTAACACATGAAATGAAAAACGAACTGGAACTGACCTATCTGGCTAATGAAAATGCAATCTGTGTTCAATTTTTGGGCCCGGCCTTTCAATATGATGAACAAATATGTGCCTTTGCTATTGGCACCCACCGGTTGCAGGTGCTGCATTTCAGCATTTCAATTAACGTCTCGTTTCGATTGCCCCCATGTCCACCTGTGCGAACACTGCCCCACCGCAACCCCCGCCCGACCCACTTGGCGTTTCATGCAAAAGCTTTATGCGGCTCACTGTCAACGCTGAGACGAAAAAGCTTCAACACCCAAAGCTGAATCACGGACTCTTTGGCCTGCGTGCCCAGACAAGTTCGGGCAGGGTATCGAAACGGAAGTTGGGCTCGAGCCAAAGGCTGGCCCCTGGCGTCGATACATAAGATTGTTGGCACATGTCAAAGTCAGAAAGTAAAAGTGCACCATCAATTCAATTAAACTTGTTAAACGTACCTCAACTTTAACCGTATGTGTCGCAAAAACTTTGCAGCTTTTATTATACCCTACACCTCTATTGGGAATCGCTTAGATTGCAATCAAATATATATAGAACACAGGCGAGACAGTTCTTAAGAGTACGTACGTATGTTCTATATTATATTCAGCCAATTTAAAGCCATACATGAGCATATGTGTGCATTAGTTAGGGGTAATTCATAATATTACAGGGCATCTGCTAGTCAAACACTTTCCGTGATAAGCTAAGCAAGCTCCAAAAAATTTCTGAACAGCTTTCTTTAGAATCTTAAATGTTGCCAGAAATAAGTTGGCCAGCACCACTGAACGTTGTATTGCTATAGGAGCTATCGGTCGAAGAGCAAATTGGTGTTCGCAATCATTTAGTTAGTCAGTAGAACAATGAAAATATATTTTTAATTTGCCACGCAGCGGGCTAAGCTCAATGAAAACATACCTTATATGCATATATTAATACATACACATACATATACATACATGTATACATGCATGCATACAAACATACATGCATACATACATACATACGTACATACATATAAACACACATATATACATACATATATAAATGCATACATATATGCATTCATGCATACGTACATACATATATGCGGACATGCATACATACATACATGTATGCATATAATCAAGCATGCACATACATATGTATACAAACATACTTATATGCATTCACACATATATACATACAGTAATACATACATATTTGCATACATAAATATATTCATACATACATATATGCATGCATACATACATACACGCTCACATATACACGTACCTGTATACATACATACATACATGCTTGCATACATACATGCATGCATGTATAGATGTAGACATGCACATGCATACACACATGCATATACATTATACATACATGCACACACATACCGACATACTATTATGCATGCATACATGCAAGTTAATACATATGTACATACATATTTAACTTCACACATGTGGTACATTCATACATACATGCATGCATGCATATATACATACATACAAACATGTGCACATACATAAGTACATGCATACATACATTCATTTAAACATATGTATACATAAAAGTGTCTTTAAACAAAAGATTGGTTAGCTGAATTGATTATAATGCATTATGTATCTTAACAAGCGTTAAGCTTAGTTTTGAGAAAGACTTTTAATATTTTGGATTGGGTTGATTATGAAATAGCAAAAATATGTGGCTTGTGCTTGAGATCCAATTACATAGAATCAATGGGAGCGCACTCTCGATCGATTCCAGAAACAATTTAAAACAAATCGGAATTATCCTGAAAATCAGTTTGGGGGCGGACCGCGGCTAGCCGGAGAGTGCAACAGAGAGTCGTAAGAGTTACATTCAATTTCGCGCCCGACAGAAAATTATTATATGTTGTTATGCCAATTAGCCAGACTTGACCTGAAAGCGGCTAACCCAAATGACATTTCCGTAAAACGCCGGATGTTCGCGAGCGCAACGTGTGCGGCAAATGCGAAACTCATTATGACGGACTGCGGCATACCTGCGGCGTGTGGAGGGCGGCGGGCGGAGGGCGCAGGGGTGCTGGCTGTGTGGGCAAGGTGTGCACAACAGCTGCGGGCAAATTTATTACGCATACGCCTACACACGTACACACGCACACACGCACACACGCACAGAGGCGTGCGTGTAGTAAATGGAACAATCAGCGGGTGTTTTGCGCCTGGTTTTAATTTTGTTCAGTCTTGATTTGTATAGAGGCATAAAGAACAGATGTCTCGATGGACCTAGATATGGAATGCATGAATGCCATTGTCATTGTCATTGCCATTGTCAGTCGGAGGCAGCATCGGGCACAGGCTTTTGACTATAAATACCGCTCGGCCGGCGGTGCACGCATAGAACGTGCTGCACTTATAATCAAACGCCCATGACGCGCCACAGCCACCCGCCGCATAAGCCGTACTGTGGGGCCAGGCTGATGCTTGTGCTCGTGTGCAGCGGCTGCTTTGGCCAATTGGCCGTGGCGCAGAATTACTGTGATCCGGCGCTTTGTCCGGCCGGATTGCGTCATGTTGTGTGCGGCAATAGCGGTGTAAGTAGTGGGCGTGGCCAATATATGTCTGGTCTCTGTGTGTGTGTGCGTGTGTATTAACCGTTAGCAAGCTCAGCAATTCGCCAGCGGCTGTCGCGGCGAATTCGTCCCAATCGATGCACACATACCCCTCATACTGAAGGAGCACAACGATCGCCGCAATCTGCTGGCCGGCGGCGGCCTGAGCGGCTTTCCCAGCGCCCTGCACATGGCCACCATGGCGTGGGACTCCACACTGGCCCAGCTGGCGGCCTATAATACGCTGCAGTGCCGCATGGCGCACGACGAGTGCCGCAACACGAACACCTATCGCTATGCGGGCCAGAACCTGAGCGTTCTCTATACGCGCAGCATTGATGTGGCCGAGTTTCTGCGCCAGCGGATTGCCGCCTGGTTCGAGGAGTATCGCTCGGCGACCAGCGCCGACACGGAAGTCCATGTGCCACGTGCCGGACCGTGCGTATGCCCCAATTGTCAGCTCCTTTCTTCTTTACCAGCTTGTAATCTTCTGGTATTCGCAGGGCCATCGGCCACTTCACGACCATGGTGAATGAGCGCAACAATCGCATTGGCTGTGCCATTGCTCGGTACACGGACGCGAACGGTTTGGGGTCTACTTTGCTCGCCTGCAACTATGCGGTCACAAATGTGCGCAACAATCCGATCTATAGGGCCGGTCCGCCGGCCTCTGAGTGCATCAGGGGTCGCAATCCCAACTACTCCAATCTCTGTGCGGAGAATGAGGAATATAACTATAACACCTGGTCCACTTGATTTCGGTTTATTTTCATATGCATTTTTTACTTATTATTTTTATTTTTATTTGTTTTTAAATGTTTTTTTAATATTTTTCTTTAATAATTTGAATTAAACTCCATTTCTCCTGAGAGTGATTTCCCAGTAAAATATTTACCATTATTGATAACCGTTAGCTCTGTCCCAAAGTAGGGGTAAGCCATAATGGGATATTCACAAATTCCCAATGTACCTATATTATCCGTTTATTTTCCTATGCAAATGGCTTAACTAAGTATTAACTCGGGCTTCAGTCCAAATGGAAATATTTTATATTTTCTGGTTTTTGTCTTAGCTTAAAGTACTCAACATTTTTTAGTGGCAAATACATAAATACCCAATGGTACTTTGTATATCGTAAGTGAGAGTATTCGCATATTATCCGTTAATTTGTGCATTCATGTTCCCTTTCTATCCCTCCTCTTTCCCATACAAATGCTTTAACTATTAACTCAGGCTTTAGCCAAAAAATAATATTTTATATTTGCCGGTTCGTGTCTTGACTTAAAGTACTCAACATTTTTCAGTAGCAAATTCACAAATACCCAAAGGTACTTTTTATATCGTATGTGTGCGCTGCTTAGATACCATAATATCCGTTTATCCGCTCAAAGTTTCAACTATAAACATAAGCTTAAAATTATGGGAGGATTTAAAAATGTCCAATTGTACTGTTCATATCGTAAGGGCAAATTGCCTACATGGACCTTTATGTTTATTTTCCCATTCAAATACTTAAACCTTACACATAAGACTTAGCTGAAGGGAGAATACCGACTGGCTTATGTCTTGGCTTAAAGTTCATAAATCTTTTTTAGGTACATTACGTACCCAATAGTATTTTTTTTTATATTGTAAGAGTGCACTATTTACGTGTGTCAATTTTATCCGTTCATTTTTCCATTAAAATAATCTAAGCATAAAAATAAGCTTTAAATTCTAGAGGATGTACTTGTCATTTACGTGTAATTGTGAGAAAATGTGAGAAACTTCCTTAGTAGGAAATTTACAAGTGCCCAAAAATGGGTTGCCTTTATAAATTTGCACTATCCGTTAAATTTCCCAATCAAATACTTTTATAATCTTCGTAAGCGCCGGCCCAAGGGGAGCAATACTTAGCTGGTTTATGTCTTGGCCTGAAGTACACAAAACTTATTTGGTGGGAAATTTACAAATGCTTAATGGTACTTTCTTATATATATGCATTTTCCACATGCCCTTTAAATTTTGTTGAGATATAACCACTCTTAACTAACTAAAATATTTAAGCTATGAAAATATAATAACAAGCAACAAAAAAAAACACCAAGTCATATAGAGATTTGATTCAGCTTAAATGAAAACATTATTTGGTATTTGCTGGTATTGGGCTTGGCTACAAAATGGGTTTGTGTCTACACTTATCGCGAGCATCCCTGAGTTCACATCAAGTTTTATGAGCTTGAACCAGTTCCTGTTTAGCTTTGCATTTTAATATAAATGCGAGTACGTAGAAGGATATTTGAACATTATTCACTTGATCCTCGCGACACCGGATAATATCTTATAATTAATAAGTAAATGTATCGCAGACTAAATACAAATAGAATTTAAGCAATAAGAAACAGCTTACCGAGCCACAGAATGAAAAAAAAAACGATGCAACGGCATAAATGATAAATAAATATATAACAAAAATTATCTGCATATAAATAAGAATATGTGAGCAAAAGCACGCTTACCTTTCCTCCATAGTTCACTTTTATGCTCTCCCACTCTCTCTCTCTCATGATGTGCACTCCGTTTGCGTGCCAATTTGTTGTGGGCAAAAAAAAAACGCGGCTGCATAAAAATGCGATGCGTAACGATTGTTAAATATGCATTAAAGATCCGTTTTTTTCAGGGGCAACTAACAAACACAACACAACACAAACTAATCGCATTAAACACCATTTATTTAACAGAAAAAAATATATAAAAAAAAAAGGAGTTTCACTATTTTATAGGCACACGCGATCAACAGGGCAAATGCGCGCAGACTAAATTCGCTCAGCCGGCTCTGGCACAAAGGCAATTACTATTGAGAGCACACAACTAAGATAACGGGATCGCAAGCATTTCGACCAATGGCGTGAGCTCAGTGGGCACATTCAATACGCTCTCCCGCTCATTGCCATTCATAGCATCGAGAGAGCCAAAGGTAATGCTTAGGACTTCGTCTCATTTGCACTGTGACGTCACAGCTGCGTATTTTTGTGTGCGCGTTAAATAAAATTTAATTAATATCGATTTGAAATCAATGAAAAATGAAAATACACAATATACGCTTAATGAATAATCATTATATTTTTTAGGCGATTAAAGTGTTATGGGAAAAAAAACTCTGAGTGGAGCTACATGAAAGTATTTAAAAGGTATCAAAATAAAAAAAATTATAAAAATAAAAGAACTTCAACAAAGATCTGATAAAAGTAAAGAAATTTAATATGGAAATTTGGAATTGCAATTGGTTGCCCAATGAGCTAAGGATCGCAAGGATAGGTCCTCGGCTCTTTTGTTTCAACGATACGTATATAGATGGGTATATCCTCGATTTTGGTCGGATTTGTGACCGAGTGCGTAAACGGTTCCACGCACTCCTTCTTGAACCGCGCCCACTTACGTGTCTTGCTAAAGTCCTTGAAGAGCGTCTCACGCGAGGGTATACAGCGATCCAAATAGAAGCGCATACGATGCCAGATGTGACCCGGATTCTGTTCTTCCTCCATGAGCCAGTAGAGTGGCATCAGCAGGCACTGTACTGTCGTTCGGGCCATGACAACACGATGATCCCCCCTCTCGCCCACGCCAAACAGGCCGCCATAAGTCATCGAACCGACGTCAACAAAGTGGGTCGCATAATCGCCATCATACTGTACCAGAAAATGTATGAAATAATGCATCGAACTAAACTAAAACATGGACATTTACGATAGACTTCAGCGATTTGATAGATACTGAACTACTGGACGAGCTCGACGAGGAGGCGGTATATATTTCCGACTCCTCAGACTCCGCTTCCGGGTTGATCAGCTCTCTCTTTCGGCTCTGTTTGCTCTGTTTGCTCTGTTTGCTCTGTATGCTCTGTTTGCTCTGTTTGCTCTGTTTGCTCTGTCGACTTGATCGCCTGGCGATATTGATATCGTCGTCATACGAGGAAAAATGGCTTTCGTCGTAATCCTCAAAGTCAATGGAATCGCCAAGCATTCCCTGCACGACAACCGATTTGAAACGATTCAGCTGGCGCGTCAGCGAATCGGGCACTTTGTCGACGGGTTTCGATTTTTGGTTCAAGATCTTGCAGTATGCCTCAATTTTGGCGAACTCCGCCTTGCGTTTCTGCATGGAAAAGGAGCCGCAAATAGTTGGTTTATCAAATTGGAATTCATACTTCATACCGCCTTCTTCTTGTTGGCTTCGTCGAGCGATGAGTTCGAGCGCAACAGTTCCCTAACATCGAATGGCTCCGGCTTCTCGTCCTCGGCATCATTGACCGAGTCCTCCTCGATCACTTTCGATAGCTCATACTGGACTTCGCCCTTCGCATTGGACACCTAAGTGGCGGATGTACTCCACGGACTCGAATCGGGGCGAATATGTAGATTCCATTAATTACATACCTTCATGTGGAGGGCCTGTAATAGAACGCATTCGCCGCTTAGAACGAAGTGCACATAGAGTATGCTGTCCTTTTCCTCGGGATATATTGTGCTCAGGGGATCGTATTGCCTTAAAATGCCAAATTTGCAGGCACTCACAATCTGTAGGCGAATGGATTATATGCCAATCGATAACTCGAGCTGAATCTGGTCACACTTGGTTTGGTTGCCATTTGAAATACGGCCACACTCGAGACTCACCTGTGACTCATTCATAAACTTCAGATAGCTGAGCGAGGCAATCGCTTTCTTCTTTTCGATCCAAACCTTTTTCACATACGGCCTCAGCAAATCATTGAAGTCAAAGTCATCCAGTACCAGAATTTCGCAATTAGCTGAAATAGAGCACAAAAATGACGATCAGCATTTGAATAAAGACTCGTTTTTTTTTGGTTCAGCTACTTGTGGCCTTATAAGTATTCATTCTCAGGCCTCCCTCTAACAGCTCAATCTCGCCGATCCAGTCGCCTGGTCCAAAGAATGCCTCAGGCTTTGATTCGAACTTGCGGGTGATCTGTGATCACGTGCCAGATGAAATAGAGCTACCAGTTAAATGCATATTGTTAGCTGTTACCTTATTCCATATCCTTCTGGACATCTCGACCTCACCGCTGACCACAAAGTAGACACAAGTCGGCACATCGCCCTCCTTCATCAAGGTGCGACCCGAACCGACGACCATGAAGTGTAGGTAGGGCACCAAACGAGCTCGAATCTTCTGCGAATGCCCATCGGAAGTAGGAAGTTTAGATGATGGATGTAAATATATCAATAGATCGTACCGGTGGCACTTGGGTAAAGCAGCCGAGGCCAGCGACGATTGTGCATAGTTTTTTTCGCTCCGGAATGTTCCGGGTGTGATGCCGGGTGGCTAGCAAGCCTTTTTGCTGTAAGATGCTCCGATCGATGAGGAATGATCTATATATATATATGTATGCATGTATAGGGTCCATTCGCTTACCGCCATTGTCAAAATGCCAGTCTTGTGCTTCTTGCGCACCAGCATGGCCACATTCTTCTTCACATTCAGGGTAATGCCCTGATCGTCCACCTCGCTGATCCATTGATGGTTCACGAAGGCGACTCTGACCAATCTCTTGAAACGCAGCTTGGCCCGCTCCCTCCGTAGCACATCGTCCTCCTTGTGGCGCTTGGACATGGTGGCCGATCAGTTAATTGGATTATTGTAAATTGTCTGTCTTCAATTCAAATATTTTCTTTCGTTTGTTGTGTTGTGTTTATGTATTTGTCTTGGCTGTGACTGTGACTTCTATATGGAAGCATTGGACGAATTGACAACTTGACAACTTTATGGGCGTCTACTTAGTTTCAGTACTAACTTTTAGGAGTCCACAGGTGCTGATAGGACAGCGACTTTCTGCTTCTTCTTCCATTGGGCACACACAATGGATCAGGAAGTCGGAATGACGTACATTTAGGTGGCGGTTTTTCTTGTTACTAGATCCTTAATTATTCGAGATATGCTTGACAATCGATAGTTATCGATTTTTAAGAAACAAAGCGAGATATCGTTAGCTTAAAATATACCAAATTTGATAGACCAACAAACATTTCCGGATATAGATGCTCTATGGGATCGGGCACATAACATACATTTTTATGGTACACGATCTTATTACGCTTTGATTACCTCGAAAGTGAATTTCCCTTGAATAAAAAGTCCCAACTGTGTTTGGAATAATACGAAAATACTCTGATTGGAGTGAAAGGCAAATGGACTCAGAAAAGTGCAAAGCAGTTAAATGTTATTGAGCGCAAATGAGCATCCCTTGAGCAGATGCTCAATGCACCCCTTCGCTCTGCACAAAGCTTTGGGACACATTGGCACACTCACCACATGGTAGACGACAACACGGCCGTGGTGAGTAGAGAGCATCGTTGAGTGAACTGCAAATTGGAGAGTTTGAGTGTGCAGCGCGCAGAGAGCTTGCACTCAATGGCTGCCGAGCTGTTCATTTGGATGCTTCGCAATGTGTCTGTAATTTTGCGAACGACAGTTCATTACTGTTTTCAAGAATAAGCGATGCCCACGTGCTGGGCCCGCACTGGCAAAAACATCAAAATTCAATTGTCGTCTTTGTCGCCTCTTGTGGCCGTCTCGCTGTCAAGTACTTAGTAAGGACACAAACAAACTGCTGCCGGAATGCCACTTCGAGCAGCGTAAATGGGCAAGACCAACAAAAATAAAGCGAAAAAGAGAAACCGTTAAAAAAACAAGTAATGAAGCTAAGAGAAACTAGTTGAAATATTCACCAAAAAACAAAACTGTTAATGAGCAAATACCGTTACGCGCGTTTAAAATACAAGTACTTTTTTTTGCATTTTTGTTATTGTTGTTGTTTTTTTTTTTGCCAAATGCAAACAAGTGCCAGTGTTGTGATGTGCCGCAAATGCCGAAAAGCATAAACAAAAATATACAAAAACTTGCCGCAGCTCGCATCTAATCGCATTAGCCGATTTCGGGAATACAAATTATAAAAAAAACATTTCAAAACGGGTTAGTGAAAGTTGTAACAATTAAATTGTTTAAACTCATTTAACACACACACACACACACACACACACACAGAGAGAGAAGTGGACGGGAGATTTATCCACTTGCTGCTGCATCCGTCTCCGTCGGCTTCCTTTTATTGCTGCATTCCCATTTTCTGCTCGACAAACATTCACAGTTTTTCCACTTCTTCTTATTATTTTTGTGTTTTTTTTTCCGGTTATTTAACGTGGCGCCGGCATCTTGTGGCCCAAGGCGCCTTTTCCTCCGTTATTTGTAAAACCTAATGAAAACTAAAATACAGAAAAATTGATGTCTATCTAGGAACGTCCCTCACCGGAAGTTTTGAATGGAACTGTGTGTCGATCTGTAAGCTACAAATCTTTAAGTACTTTCTGGTATATACTAGTATTTTATGGTATATACTAGCAAATACTTTAAGACTTGTTAACGTTTTACTTAAGTGAAAACCGACAAAATTATACTAAATCTATGTGAATTTCTGGAATAATACTTATATGACATAGAAGACTTTCTCTCGCTTTAACCCAGTTTCTATATTTTTTTTCAATTTTTCTTTAGTTTTCGCTTCTGGATACTCTTTGTGTCCTTTGTCAGCCTCAAAAAGAGTAAAAGATTTGTGAGCTTTAATTGATTGGATCTTTCATACATACGATTTTTGGATTGTATCTTGTTGCTTCCTTTCTCTCTCTTTCTCTTTCTCTCTCTTTTTGCTCATTACCATAAAATATTTGTAAATTTCGTTTGTTTGAGGTCCCCCCAAAAATTGGCTTCTCTCTCCCAACTCTCGCGCTCTATCTATCTAATTTGGCCTCTCTATATTTCCCCCTTTCTCTGGTGTTATCGCTCTTTTTTCTGACTTTCCCGCCTTCTTTCCCTCAATCATGCAAAGTTTTTTGACCTTTTAACGAAAAACATCGCTTCTTTTCTAGTCTCTCGCTCCATCCCCCCCTCTCTTCCTCTCTCTATCTCTCTCTCTCTCTCTCGCTCTCTCGCTCTCTCTCTTTCTCCATTTCTCTCTCTCTCTTTCTTGACATTTTTATTAGTTTTAGGTCCCCAACAAATTAGTTTCTTTCTCTCAACTCTCTCACTCTATCTCTTTATTATTTCCGACCATTATCTCTGTCTCCCTCTTTTCTCGTTCCCCCTCTCTCTCTCTCTCTCTCTCTCTCTCTGTCTCTCTCTCTCTCTCTCTCTCTCACACACTCTCTCTCCCCGCCTCTTTACCTATAGCTCTATAATAATATAAAGAAAGAAATATTTAATTTGTTTTAAGAATCGCAGCCTCGTTAATTCCTCCCTTTCGCTGTTCCCCCCTCCCCCCCCCCTTGCCAGGGTCCTTTAGCAAAAACTACGTGCTTTAATTAACTCATTTTGAATGTAATTCGGTTGAGGTAGCCCATCAAAGTCAGGCAAATATACATTTTTGATTAATGTGGTGTGAATAATTTATTCGCATTAAAACAATTAGTTTGGTTAAACCAACATTTATGCCAGTCCGTGGTAAAGTGCAAATACATTGAGGCAGGTGTGCGTATGTGTGCACACACACACACACACATTATACAAGTGTTGTTGCATGCCCCACAGAAATTTTCATGTCATTTACATGCCTTACGGTATATTGCGCTCGAACCAGGTTCGTTGCCTCCCCGAGCTGAGCAAAATCCAAGGATTCGAGGCTTAATGAGTGTAGATAGGTAAAACAATATCATATTTTATTTAAAACATTTAAATGGCCTTCCAAGCAATAATATTTGCATCGTAAAGTGGACAAAGTGAAAGGACATTAGCTCCATGAGCATGTGCCTGATAATATGATTTACAACTTCTCAAATAGCTATTTGATTTGGCTAAGATATTGCGCAAAGTCTGGCCATTAATTGCCATCTAATATATTCAGTATTCGCTTCAACGCAGAGCAAATTGAACAATTGACTAGGAAATTTTATTAAATTTCTAATAATATATTATTAGCCCTTTGACTGGATACTCAAAGGGAACAACAATATTATATCATATTCTTTTTCACTATAAATGTGTCTTTTCAAGGCTCAATTCAAGTGCTTAATTCTGCTAAATTGGCCACAGTTCAAATATGTGGGCTTTAAAGCTCAAAGCTAACTGGGCGAGGAATAAAATATAGCTAAAATATATTTCAATGGAAATATTATGGAGGTTTATTGACAAAAAAGTCTAGTATTTAGTGCTAGAGGCCGAATCGAGTTGAAAAAGAAGTCTTTTCTTTATCTATATGTATATATGTATATATAAGAATGTATATAAATTTATATATATATACTTAGTAGCGGGTATAACCCGGCCTTGCCGTGGCACGTATGTAAAAAAATCTTTAAAATGCACTTTCCACCGAATAAGTTTGGATTTTGCGAAAAATGTGAAACACGTCTCAAGTGATTTTTCATATAGATTCTTGAAAATGAATTTGAGCGCGAAACGTCATCCACCAAATCTTTGACTCCCATTTCCGCCAAGGAGGAATGGATTTTTCGAAAAGTGTGAAACACCCCTCAAATGAATTTGAACAAAGAACTTTGAAATTGGGTTTAAGGCCATTCGTATGGTGAGCAAAAAGTTTCTTACAAACGTTTTTCGCGATTTTTCCACACTTGCGGGTTGAATTTCCCGAAACCCCGTCTTAAGATGCAGCTTCATCACATCAGGTAACTACAGGGAAAATTTCAGCTTCCTAGCTCTTACGGCTTGGGCTGTGCGTTGATCAGTCAATAAGTCAGTCAGGACAAACAGTTTTATATATGCAGATATATATCTCCAATTTAGGTTTTGCATAACCAAATAACAAAAAACTGAAGCTTTTTATTCATACTTATTATGGCTTATATGCTCAATTCCATTGTTCTAGCTGTATACAAAAAGATTTAAGTTTGACATCTTCGTTTTTTAACGAGCAGTTGAATTACAAAGGATCTAATCGAAATAAATGTTGTTAACAGTGCTCAAAATATGTGATTTTTTTTTATAATATAAAATATATTTTTACAATATGATATTTCTACAATATAACAATATAGTAATATTTCCGATTTCTATGGACACAAGTTCCTCATATCTAGATGCACAAATTATAGCTTTAATTGTTTAAAGCAAATCTTACACACACATGTACACACCCATTCGTTTGTGTGTATGCATCAATATTACGTATACGCCATAAATTAGTGTTATAAAGCAACATAATATAATATAGTAATATATATCCGATTTCTTTGGATACATGACTTAAATATCGAGATTCATAAATTATAGCTTTAATTGGTTTAAGCAAATCTTACACACACATGCACACACCTATTCGTATTACGTATACGCTACAAATTAGTGTTGGAAAGCAACATTAGGCTAACCTCAGTATATCACTCCTCAAGGCCTTCGGCTTTGATAAGCAGACAAATATACCACACGCCGAAACCGAAAACCGCAAGCTTGTTAAATTCCGTTAACCGTCGAGCACACCGCAGCAACACACACACACACACACACAGACATGCATACTTATTCGAATGTATGTGTGTGTGTGTGCGTGTGTCGAAGTAAAGTCAACAAAGTTAGCGCGTCGGCTGAGAACAGCCGTAATCCCAAGATGTCAACCGGCCGTAGGCGCCTGAAGAAGTTTCTAATCTGAATATATACGCGTAAAACAAGAAGAATTTGGTGTAATAAACACAACGGGTGTTGGCCATGGGTGCCAGGGGGATGGTTGGGCGGGGGGTACAAGACTTACGCGTAATGCGTACGAAACAAAACAAAGCACGTTTTGCACTCAATGAGGCACAGCAGGTGCCCTGCGACATACATATGTACATATGAACGTACATGCATACATACGCATGCATACACATGTGCACATGTATGTGGCCACGCATGCAGATTCGAGGGTAGCTTGGACGCATATGCTAAGCGTTAAGAGCTAGTTAGTCAAAGTCAGGTAAGGCACAGGAAATGCTGACGCTGGGCCTGAGTCTGGGTCTGGGTCTGGGTCTGGGCAAATAAAAGAGATAGAGAGAGAGAGAGAGGGAGAGAGAGTGCGAAAGAAAACAGGAACGTGACAGTCTGCAGCTGGAGCTCAGTTATACAGATTACAGTTCTTTTTCTTGAGCTAATGATGACGTTGCTCCTGATGATGATGACGCTGCTGCTGAGAGCCAAGAGCTGGGACTGAGAGCAGCACGAGAATTTCATAAAATGAAATTTTGCTGTACAAGCGTCGCCATAGAGCTCATTTAAGATTTTATTGCTGCTATGTTATGAGAAAATCCTGTCCGCGCCCACTCTCGCTCCCCCTCCTCCATCCACCATCCCTTCTGTGGGCTCCCGGGTCCGCCCATCAAGTGCAATTAGAATACGCAAAAGGCTTTAAGCCTTCCGTTTGTTATCGCTGTGCATAGTTTCGAGGCGGTGCGCCCTTTAAAATAAAATATCGCAGCAAATGGCAAAATCAGATGTCAACAGAAGAAGAAACAAAAAAAAAATGGAAGAAACAAAACAAAACAACAGCTAACTACAGCAACAACAATAACAGCAAAAAAAAATCCTCAACAAAAGCTAACGGAGAGCAGAGGGCGGGGGCGAATGTCAGCAAGAACAAGAGCAACAACAACTTCACTAATATAATATTTATTACGGTGATTATGTCTTGAGCCAAGGGCAAGCGCCGGCAACATCTCGCCCCCGCCCCCACCCCCGCGCCCAGCCGCCTGCCACGCCCCGAGCGTTCACACAGCCGATACAAAAGTGGAAATGAAAGTTGAGAGAAATGTAATAAGCAAGCACACTGCGGGCAACGGGCCGAGCGGGGCGAACGGGGGCATAACGGGACATAAACTATGATGGACGCCAGCGATGACGACGATGACGACGTCGCCGTTGACGTCGACGGCGCAGTCAGCGTCGACGGACGAGGAAACAACAACTTGCCGCAGGAAGAAACTTTAATTCGTTTTATTCATCTGTGTTACGGCAATAAAAACCCGCTTACAAATCAGTTTCTTGATACAAATCAAAAAAAATAAAACAAGTAAGAGGTTCTAGTCGGGAGCTCCCGACTTGGGGATACCCTGAACCCTCTGCTTCCAACATCAAATGCATATATATATTCTATTTTAGAAGCTATATGTCAAGTTTGGTGACTCTAGCTCTTATTATTTACCAAAATTGTCCAAAAACAGGATATCGATATCGATTTTTATCGATTGCTTGGAAACGGAGCAAGTTATCGATTATCGGAAACAAACTCGATCTGCGCGGGCACTAGGAGCATCTACATCTCTAGCTCGTATAGGTTCTGAGATCCTTGCGTTCATACATACGGACGAACGGACGGACAGACAGACGGACATGGCTAGATCGATTCGGCTATTGATGCTGATCAAGAATATATATACTTTAGTCGGAGATGCTTCCTTCTGCCTGTTACATACATTTGGCTTTCGCACAAATGCAATATACCCTTATACCCATTTTTAATGGGTTCAGGGTATAAAAACAGATAAAGAAAAAGAGAAAATAGAAAATAGAACAACAAAAAATAGCACACTTTTTGTTTTCCCAACCACAGCAGCGGGATGCTGAATCAATAAGTGACGCAACGCAGTTTACACCTTTGCACGTTAACTGTGCGATTCTCTTCTCTACTCGGGGGACGCGTTTGCCCGGCCAAAGTATATTTCATAACATTTTTAATTCGATTTCCTTCTATTTTCCGGACTTTTCAATATTTAACAATTTTGTATGCAACGCTCCGACCGTACAAACAATTTTTCACCCCAGGGAACGAGCTTTTCGATTAGTGTAAAACTTGGTCCCTAATTGATTTTTTAGAGAAACGTTTTTCAAATGAATTTAAGCCCAAATGAAAAACAATCAAATTTCTATGGCAAATAATTCAGCTTTTAGCTGCGCCTGGAACATGCGTGGAACATGATCAAATAATGGCAAAAACCCAACCGAACTCCGCCCGGGGCCCAGGCTCACATCCTCTTGCCTGAGAGCTGGGCACCCAGGTCATCCAGCTCAATGCCTCGAAGTGCCAGGCGGTCAGCTACACACTGAGGCGTGGCAAGGCTCCAGCAGTCTGGATAGATGGCAGCTCCCTTCACTCTGGCAATAGCGCCAAGTATCTTGGCTAAGAGGCCTTCCCAGCTGGTTACTAAACCCCAACAGCCTGTTGCCGGGCAGCTGAAAACGTCGTGGTGGCGCCAACTTGGAGACACGGTATCCAGGTTTGGGTCATTGCATCTCGGACAAATCGAAGACGGATGTAGACACTCCAAAACTTGGCCTTGTACATAGACCTCCAACTGGAGACTATAGACAGCCAAGTCGAAGCATTTGCCAATCGACACAACGAGCGCCTGCAGCGACACTGCAAGAGACCTCGCTGGGAGTCAGGAAGCCCAAGAGAAGATCCTTCAAGGACCTACTCCAGCCACCACAAGGAAGACGCCCCAGAGCCCCCGACTACCTACGAGACGAAGCAGCCTTATTCAAAGAAGGCGCCTTTGACTTTTGTGCTATTTCTATATATCAAAATATCGGTTTCATTAAACGCGGTCATATTCTATAGCATACTATCATCTATCGAACAATCAACACAAACTGTATTTTAGATGGGGTTTCTCTCTCTCACTCTTTTAATAGAAGAGTTGATGGGGTTTTAAAGAGACTGTTTTGGACTTGTCCCATGTCTCTTTCTCTCTGTCTATCTCTCTTTCTCTCTCTCTCTATCCTCCTCTTTATAAACTTGTTGATGAGATTTTAATAGACGGTGTTTAAGTCAAGCTCCAGATCAGGATCTCAGTCTCAGTCTCTCTCTCTCTCTCTCTTTCTCACCCTCTCTCTCTCTCTCTCTCTCCCTCTCTCTCATGGGGTGTTATTGCCATTGTTTCAGCCCAGCCCCGTATCCTGTTGTCTCTCTCTCTCACTATACACTAGTTGATGGGGTCTCATAACGATTGTTTTGGCCTAGCCCCATGTACCTCTCTGTGCCTCTCTCTCTCTGTCTCTCTCTCTCTCTCTCTCTATTGCTCTCTCTCTCTCTATCTCTGTCTCTGCCTGCTTTTAATAACTTGTTTTTGGGCTTTTATGGGTGGTATTTCAGCCCAGCCTCATATTTCTCTGTCACTCACTTTTTCTCCCTGTCTTTATATCTCTCCTTCTTTCCCTCTGTATAGACTTGTTGTTTGGGTATTGTTCTGTCTCTTTCGCCCCTTCCGCTTTCTCTCCCCCTTCCCCTCCCTCTCTCTCTCTCTCTCTCTCTCTCTTTGAAGTCAACCTGCTTTACCTGGACTAGACCCAAGCCAACTTAACCCAAAACGATTTTTTTATGCTTTCAGTTGATCCATAATAACTTCCCATGTAGAACGGCAAGCTTGAGATGCACGGCTTATGCTGTCTATAGCGCCTGGATGCGTTGAGGGCAGCTACGTTTTGGGAATAAAATGAAGGTTTCTGATTTCAAGAGGCCCGTTTATCAAAGTCACGTCATCCCGTGCAAAGGATGAGGCGTTTAAAAGTTAATAACACATCATTAGCATCAGCATCAGTCGCGGCCCACCAGCTCCCACGGACTACCCAGTTACAGAATAGCCCGGGCATAAACCAGAGCCCGAGCCTGAGACTTGTTCGGCTGCTCGCCGTTGTCACAGTGATTGGATTTCAGTTTCGTTGTGTCCTGTGTAAGTATGAGGCAAGCTGGGCCATTGCGGTTCCAATATCAGAGGGACACATTAAATATGTGTATGTAATTCGAGTGCCCTTTGCCTATCCCACATTGCCCCAGGAAGCGTAATGATAGAGCACTGGCATCCGGCATATGTACATCAATTACACTCTCTTGCATATGTATCAATAATCTGGGGGTGGGGTCGACTCTCAATTTCTTCCGGCCAGGCACAGCAGCAACCAGTGCATCGATATCAACGACCCTGAGCACACAGAGCAACAGCACAGAAAATAATTTCTATTTTGATGAGCATAATACCACTACCAAATTGCTATCAGTCCTTGCTGCGGACTCGACAGCCGCAATTCCCGACGTCTCACCGATGCCAGCCGAGGCGATACCGACCCTACCAACAGCCAGAGCACAAGTTGGACTTACTACGCTCACAACTGTCCGGCTGACGGGAAGCGAGACCTCAATGAGAACTGCGGTTGACAGCGGTGGGATCGGGAATGGCACAACGGTTAAGAACTATAATGCTGTAGATCTCGGGTCCACGGGCCTGGCGACGGCAGCGGCAGCCACGACCAAGAGCATCAGAAGCACCATTAAGCAACCCAACCTGGATGTCACACGCTCCAGGAACCATTGGACTGTTGGCGGCTCCGCTGATGCGGAACGATCGCGCACATTTCGCAGCAAGTATCATCATGAGAACCACTATGGTCCATTCTTCGAGGAGCCATCGAACCTAGTTGATCCGGGCAAGACTCTCGTCTCGGCAGTACATCTATTTACGGAAGCTGTGCTCAACTGTCGCGTCGGCATGCTCAAGGATAAGACGGTAAGCGGGCTTATTAACTCTGATAATTGATAAGCAAATTAATTGGCTTAGACCACAATCAGTTGCTGGTCTCAGTTGATAGTTTCCTGATTTGTCCATGCTGAAGGCTATCAAGGACATCACAAACTTCATTTGATTCATTTACAACAGTGCTCGGAATTTTAGAAAAGGAGAAAGTAGGGATATCTTTGACACGCCGAAGATTTAATACCTTTGTAGACATTTCCTTTTTGCGATGTGATATGTGATAAAAGTGAAGCTCGTTCGGTAAAAGTATCTTGGAATACATTCGACCGATCGTTCTTAAGTGGTCCGATATTGATAAGATTTTGCATATATACGAACATAGTGAGACTTATAAATGCCGAATTTGGTCAAGATATCTTAGGAAACATACAAGTAACAACTTCGAACGATCGTTTCTATAGTGATCTCATCCAGCTGGCTCCGACATATGAACTACCTCAAACAGAGAGACATTTCTATGCAAAGTCTTAAAGACAATAGCTCTAAAACTCAGAGAGACCAGTTCGCAAAGAAATAGACAAATGGAGAGACGGAGAGACAGACATGGCTTTATCAACTCGGCTGTTGATGCTGAACTGGAGTATATATACTTTTTTTTGGTTGGAGATGTCTCCATCCAGGCATTACACATTTCATCACAAAATCTAGAATAAAATAAAATTAGCATTTATTTCGCAGCGTATCCGTATAAATGGATGAATAATCCAATTTCTATACCAGATGCCAAACCTTCTAGACTGTAAGTGTAACACGCTCTGTAAGGTTTTTAAAGAAAACACGCAGTATTAAGCCAATCCCTGGAATCCCCTTTGCAGGCCACACAAAACAGCTGTAGCAGCTAAGTGTGCCCGTTTGTTTCTTAAGCAAAAATGCTGGCATTTAGTATTTGCGCCAAATTCAATTTCGAATTTTTGCAAATAGCTGGCAACGTTTGAAAAGCATCTCGATGGCAACGCTGTTCAATCCAATTAACAAAACAGAAAAACGTTTCAAATTCAATTTCGAATTTTTCCAATTAGCTGGCAACGTATGCATAACATTTTTAAACCCGATGGCAACGCTGCCAAATCAATCAAATCAGACTAAGTGCATTGTATGCTAGTTATTTTATGTTTCACTGCAAATACAGCCAAATGGACGAAATTAAGTGATCGAAATTTCAGGTAATGTGGGTGAGGCGAACAACCGAGAAGGTGTCACTGCTTACCGTTGGAAATGTCACATATAGCGGGGATCCACGCATACGAGTCAAGTTTCAGTATCCGAACAACTGGCGTCTGATGATTAACCCAACGCAAAGGGAAGATGCTGGCATCTATATGTGCCAGGTTTCAACGCATCCTCCGCGTGTCTTCACCACAAACCTGACCATATTGGGTAAGTTCATACATACATATATCTCAAATTGAACTAATGGGCGTATTGTCTGAATTCCGTGCAGAGCCGCCGTTAAGGATAATCGATGAGCATGAACGGGATGTGGGCGACAGATATTACAAGTCTGGCAGCACTGTGGATCTGCAGTGTCAAATATCGCGGAATTTCTTCCAAAAGGAGCGCCACAACATACTCAAATCGACGGAATCGGGCGGCTCAGCCAACAAACTAAATGAGACGGGCAGCGAACTAAATCTGATCGGCGATGCGAATCAAACATATAGCACATTCTCGAGCCAGGAGTTGGAGAAATACTTTACTAACTTCATAACATGGGCCAAGGACGAGGAACCGCTGCCAGCACTGACCAATAGACGTTCCAGGTATGCTTCCAATCGCATTCAATGTGCCATTTTTCATTCATTCATTTGTTTTGCAGCGTATCCGATAAATGGCTCAATAGTCGAATTTCCATACCAGACGCCAAACTCTCCGATAGTGGCAATTATTCCTGTTCACTTGGTAGACTATTTACTGTAATTGTACAAGTTCAAGTACTAACGGGTAATATCCTTAATTTCAATACCAAACAAAACTTACCTTAAGCATAATACAAATTTTGCATTTTCAGGAGAATTACCCGCCGCAGTCCAACACAATTTGGCACACAGATCCGACAGCTGCATCTCACTCTCGTGGAGTCTCTTCAGCATTGTTATTTGTTTTTATGTCCTCAAGGGCCATTCATTGCACTTTCATAATACCGAATCGATGAATGCCTGATGAGATGGAATTTGTGCTCAGCATCGGTTCATTTACTATATAGTCCTAACATACAGATACGACTTAAATACCAGAAATACTAAAATAGAGCATTTCCAATTATTTCCATATGTGTATGTGTATGCTTCACGCTGTGTAACTGCTAAACTGACCGATTTGTCCAACAAATATTCGTATACTACATACAAATTAACATTCATAACATACATATATATATATAGAGAGAGAGAGAGCGGGAGAGAGAGAGCGAGAGAGGGAGAGGGAGAGAATTTTCTATATCAATTTACACGACTTTCATTGATATTCTTCTTAATAAAATAAAGTCGACAACTTGTTTAATTATATTCGGAATATCGGTTTAAGTAATCCCCCCAGGAACTAGCCCAGTATTAATATATACATACATATGTTTTATGATAAACTGAGAAATTTGTAAACAACAAAAAACATTTGTGAAAAATCAAATAAAATTTGTTAATCTGTTTCGTTTTGAGTGTAAGTAAGTAAGTTCAACTTTCACTTACATGAGTTTTTGACATTTAATTGTGTATTTTGGCAATTAGTATGTTTGTAAATATTGTAAAATGGCAGACGTTAGGATTTTTACCTTATCTGAAATGTAAACATCCTCCAAACATATAACCATATATGCCCCCCCCCCCCCACTCCTTCTGCTAGACCAAATGTATAGTTAAAGTATTTTATTCAAACTGATTTGTTTACATCACGATCTGAGTTAACGGTAAACTATTTCGAATAAACCAATCAAACCCGAGAATCCCCAAAACATTGTTAAATTGCGATAATCATGTATTATCACGATTATCATGCTATATTACAAGTAAATCAAAATACATACTTTCAAATATAAAATCTGTACAAAATTGTTTTCTTTCATCAATTTTTAAGGACTTTGCTAATAATCACTATTCTTTGCATTTCAATAATTATTTTGCACAAATTTAATTTCTTTTTATTACATACTCTGTGCATTTGCGTGTCGTAGCAATTAGGTTTTCAGTGAGTGCCATTGCAGTCTGCTTTTGTCCGACTCATTTAATGGCAACTTGAAATCAAACCGTTCGAATTCCCACTTAGAACGTGCAAATTCTAATAGGAATTCAAGAGTTAGTTGCAATTTGATTGGCATCTAAGCTGTCTGCCCACTAAATAAATGTATTAGCCCAAGTTAACTATCACTCACTATATCCTAGCAGCCCTGACCGCCTAGGCTATGTTAGTAATGCGTAAGAATATATTACGGGCCTTTACATATCTATTTATGGCTATATTTCACATATTTTTACATTTGATATACACTTTTGCCATACATTGGAAACAACAAGCTGTTTATCAAATATAACTTTTTTTTGGGGGCTGCCAATTTGCGAACTATCGATAACTTGCAAGCTTGCAAATCTATCGTTTGCAAACAACATGCCAATCGATATTTTTAAAGGCAATCGCAAACTTATTTATAGCACGAATTTATATTTTCTTTTTGTTTAAATACATAACATTAACATTTAGTCAATAACATCAGTTTTCTTTTTATTATTTTCGAAAAACAGCCTGCAGCGCATAAAATGTGGGTCTAAAATTGCCTTAATTATAGCCAAACAGTGTGTACAATTTTTTGCATTGCCCAGTGATAAGGCCTATGTATATAGCTATATATATATATATATATACATATATATATATGTATGTCTATGTATATAGGTATATTTACATATGTATTAATATGCTAAAAGCTGCATAAAGTACATGATTTGAGCCGCTTTCAACAAAATGAAATAAAACGAACACCTATTCAACTACCTGTTGGGATAAATGCCCGGACACGGCCTGTGGGTGGGGGACAAAGATAATTAACGGCATTAACTAACGATGGGAAAAACGATTCCTTTTGCCACTTGTGTTCGTCTGACTCTGACTTCACCTTGACTAAAGTACACGGGCGCAATGCAAAAACAAAAACAACAAAAACAAAAAACGATCATGAAAAAAAAATCGACTGGAATGATAACAGTAGTAAAAAAGAAAATAACATGCAAATGATTTCCCACAGTTTACATACCAAGCAGAGCGTGTGAATCGTCCGGGCAAACATGTTGAAGCTACGTAACATCTTGTCAACAATGGGCCACAATGCCGGCCCTATCGCGGCTGTCCGGTAAGTTGGTTCCGGAATAAATACGATATGCACACACACACACACACACACACACACACATATATGTGCTGACGATAAGCACCTGGAATGTATATCGCATTTATGTGTCTGATTACTTTTACAGCTCGCTTTCAACAACCGCCAGCTGCAAGGACTCCGAGTCGTGGTTCTCCAAGCTGCTGGTGCGCAAAATCGAGCCGACAAAGGAGTCGCACAGTCGCATGCTGAGCGATAAGGAAATAATATATGCCTTGCATACGCACAACGTGCGCCCCGATTCCATGGGCAACTATCTGAATAATTAGTGAGTGCCAGATCGGATCGGACCGGATCGGAGATATGTTATGTTTGTTAAATTAATTCATATCCCCTCTCTCTTTCTGTTGCGCAGCAAAAATACGGTGGCACTTATCAATGAGAAGAAGACGAGCCTATCGTGCAAATTGGTCGCCTCATGGACTGTCCAAGTGGGCGACATGGATCAGTGTCTGCATCTGTGGAGATATACGGGCGGTTTTGAGAAAATCGATCAGGCCAAAGAAGATCTGTGGAACGATCCAGAGTATTTGAATTTAATGAACGAGCGCTCCAAGTTCCTGCGCTCACGCCATCTGCAATATCTGTTGGCCTTCAGCTATTGGCCGCAAATCGAAAGCCGATCGGGCAAAAACATCTACGAAATGCGGCAAGTTGCCCGATATGCCCGATGCCAATCCATTCGATATGCTATTTATTCTCGAATTTATGCCCGTACAGATCGTATCGACTAACCCCGGGCACCATGATCGAATGGGGCAACAACTGGGCGCGTGCCATTAACTTCCGCAAGCATAACAATGAGGCCTTTGCTGGATTCTTCTCACAGATTGGCCGACTCTATAATGTCCATCACATTTGGTGTAAGCGACGGCCAACGACAAACATTTCACATTCGTCGTTAGCAGATAAAAGCCAATAACGTTTCCTTGTCTGCAGGTTACAAATCGCTGCAGGATCGCAAGGAGACCAGAGAGGCGGCCTGGCGTTCACCCGGCTGGGATGAGTGTGTGGCATATACCGTGCCATTGATTCGCGAGATGCACTGCCGCGTCCTGGCGCCCACTGAGTTCTCGCCCACACAGTAAACTGTGCCCATCAAACTAGAATGATTCAATCAGCAGACCGGCTCTGTGTCTAACAATTTGATTTTAAATGCTGTGAAACTTTGAGTAACATGTACCCCTCTATCCCCCCTCGAACCCTTGCTCCTTCTGTTGAAAACTTGTATATAATGCCAGCATTTGAATGCTTTCATTTTTAGCTGCTATTACTTAAGATAAAAGTGCATTTTTGTTGTCAAACATTTGAAAGCTATGTGTTTTGTGGATATAGCAAAAAAAAAAGAAGAGAAATATAATCAAAAATCAAAATGATCAGAAAAGATAGATATGCAAATTGCAAATGTAATGTATGTACAATAAATAAATTGTGAATGAATTGCATTTACTTGCGCATCTGTTTAATATTCATTTGAACTAATTTAATATAGTTATATCAAGTAGTTAGCACAAAATGATTCGTACAATGAGATAAAAACGTATTTTATAGTTATAACTAAAATATTGACTAGCGTATTCGGATGTACATTCAATTTTTCAACTTTTACAAATGTCTGTGAACAATCAAATTCCCTTCTGCAGCTCCTCTTCAAATATGTACATAAGCGCCTATAACTAAATATAGCCATTTCCGTCTGCATGTTTCTATGTGTATAGCATATCATGTATATAAAACAAGAAAACTGATCATTCAAAATCCTAGCTGATTTCACACATAAATCCAAATGGCAAGCTATTTGATAAGCTATCCGGGCTTGATTAGATTGTGCTAGAAAATATATGGGCCAAGAAGCATAAGCTAGAGGGACAGGACATAGACAGATATGCGATCAGACCCACTTTTATATATGCAGATTGAATCAGAACTCTAGCCTGGGTTGCCTAGAAACAAACAGCCAGCCGGATATGGCTATATCGTCGATGGAGCTTTTGATACTGTTCAAGAATACATACATACTTAATGGGGTCTGCTGGGCGTTACACATATCGTGACAATATTAGAATATCCTCGACAATGACAATGATAAGGATACTAGATATAGGAGATTGACAATGAACATCTGACAAATCGCATTCGTTTGCGCCAAAAAGGTGCTGAGGTATAACAAATTTGTGTGAATAGCAAGAATGTGGGAACAATTCGTGATGAATGTGGCTGACATGTGTTAAGCAACTATTGCTTTATTCATACATAGTTGGGTTTATTGCTTATTGGGAGATCGTTTTCTCTGTCTGCTGACGCACAGTCTTTAGATGCTTCTTGCCCAGCAAGTGCTGCTGCAATATGGATATGTGATTCATGGCCTTATTGCATAGCTTGCAATAATATGACCCGGAAGGGGTACGATACATGGATAGGTCTTCATTCGTATCGGTGGCGAGCGCAGCTGCTAGTGAATTCTGCTGCTGGCCGCCGTTTGCGTCAAGAGTGGCTGCCTCCTCCTCAAGGATCTGCTTGCGTAGATTTTTCTGGTGCTTGGCACCATCGAGATGCATTTTGATTTGCGATGCGGATGTTACGCTGATTTTGCATACTTTACAGGTGAGGCTTTCGTCTACAACAGGTATCTTAACTTCCAGCTGCTGCTGCTCTCCATTGGCGGAAACTTCCTGCAGTTCTGCTGCAGCCGCTGCCTTGATGAACAGTTCGCCAATGCCAAACCGACCGTCGTCTGGAACTATTTCGGCTTTTGTGCCAGTGCGCACCCATTTGCCTTCCTCATTGTAGAATCCAGCTCCAGACGGCTTTGAACGCTTCTGTACCACCAGCTGATGCTTGCGTCCGGCATAGTGCTGGCGGGCATGAGTCATCGATGTGAGAGCCAGGTCGCACAGATTACAGTGGAATGCATTCGGGCCGGTGGGCCCCTGTTTCACGAGGCGTTTGATGGGCGGCGTCTGCAAACCGACCTCGGTGTAGTTTTTGGCCAGCCACGCGCTAATGTGACGATCGTGTGCCTTGGACTCATAATGATCCTTGGCACTTTTCATAGAGGTCATCTGTGCCTTGCATAATTGACAGGACAGCGGCTGAATCAGTTTGTTCAGCTCGTCCGGGTAGCTTTCATCACGGCCCTGAAAAATCGCCAAATTGTTGCCCTCGCCGCACTCCTCCGATTCGTTTAGTTTCCTTTTTAGCTTGCGCTGGGATGCGACCGCAGGAATTGGTTCATTATCCTTCATCGATGAATCTGTCTCCATTTTTGCCACTGGCTTTTCCTTTCCGGCACGCAGCAAACGCTTTGCACTGACTGAAGACGTTGGTGGCGCAGTCAGCTCAATGTTTACAATCTCGCGAATCTTCTCCGGCTGGGCTCCTGACGTTGTTATAAGCGGTATTTGATAACCACTCAGGTATTCGGAAGCCATTTTTCTGAGACCGAACGTAAGGTTACTTAAAATCTATTTAAAACAGTGCTAGAGATGTGCACAATTCTCGTGTGCCCCACAGCGCAGGCTCTAAAGTTATCGGCAGGGCTTCCATCACTAAATGTACAGTGGGATGTTGCATGTTTTAATGCGAACTTCCGTCAATTCTATCGATTCGATAGCAAGAGTTAAAAGTAGCCCATAAATTTGGGTATTTCCAATCTATCTTGATCTTGAATTACAAATCTCTTAGAAAACTAAAGCACTAGACGCATATTCATATAAATCGGCCCACTGTTTCGCGACGTTCAACGAAAGAATACAACTTTTGTTCCATGTTTTTTGTGATTTTCCCATTTTTTTTATTTATCATACCCAGTAAAATGTGGTAGGACCAAACAAAACACCTTCGAATGTACGACTCGTACCATTTCAATGTTTTCTATTTTGTTTGATTACATTTAAAACCGAGAACCCATTAATTGTCTGGCAACGAACGAATGATATCAGAATCTCCAGGATCGGTAATGGACATCGTGCACACGCGGAAGTATTTGCCGCAGGCGGTGCCCAACTCAATGTTGGTGCCACTGTAGTGCTGAACTTCAGTTTTGGCCAACATGGCGTAGTACTCAATCTCAGACTTCCTGCAATTGTCATCAAGAATATTATATTTAATACCAGCCCAAAACTTGTCTAGAGTTCTATGCCCTTCTCTATATAGCGTTTGGCATTCAGAAAGAGTCTCTAGTAATAAAATTCGTCACGGCGGTCGGAATTACAAAAATCATCATATACATAAGCTTAAATTATGATAACTGTTCAAATCCAATGAGAACAACTTCTTACCCCAAGCATCCACACGTATGCATGCGTGTGCGTGTGTGTGTTGTTACTGGAACCATTTGGAGACGTGCGGTGTCTTACATTTTGGCGGCGGCTGCTGCTGCTGCTGTTTGAGACTATACTACTCCATAGTTTCCATCAATATTTTTCATTTGGAATCATATTTCTCAGTCAGCATTAAAGAAGACTCCATATGGTTCCAATAACTACAACATCAGCTAATTATTGCTGTTCATACTTGGGCGTAATGGAAATCTACTTCTCAGTAGCATTTGCTTCTGTTTCAATACCAGAACATGTTCGTTCTCACCTCAAAGCAGGCGTGTTGCTGGCGATGAGCACCAGTTTGGCCTTGCCCTGACGCAGGGTCTTCAGAGTCTGCTTGTATCCCAGGCAGTATTTGCCGGATTTCATAACCAGCGCCAGACGCGCATTGGTGCTCTCTAAAGCCTTCTTTTGTTTCTTAACGGCAACCATGTTGAAGGTTTTTCACAAAAACAACTATATGCAAACAAGAATAATAACGTTAAGCAATCTTATTCAACTTTAGACGCGGAGCAAAACAACCTACCTTGGTCGAGCGACGATGGTAAAAAGGCAGAATTGCACGAAAAACGGAAACACGCTGCCTCTGTCAGGGCTGCAGAAAATATTTACACACTTTTAGGCTAGCCCTGGGTTTAATGCCAAACAGTACGATGAATTGCATGACAGGGCTGCTTATACTAATCGATAAGTAACTAAATTGCGTAGAAAAGTTAACAATTGTATTATTAAACCGCCAATATTTTTTATTTAAAAAAAAAAGTTACACCCACGTTGTTGTTTTCATCAATCTTGAATTTCTTGTTGCGGAATAACGCATGTACCAACATGGATACAGGCAAAATACCGCATTTAAATATTCAATGTACATATGTATTTTCTCTGCGCTTTCATCATGCAAACAAATATCGTATAGAAATATTGACGTCATAAAGATGGCGAACATGTGAAGGCGCAATTGTTTTTACAAACGTGCACAAATACATGCACATGGCCGCCATATGATATGTTTGCATGTGTATGTTGTGTACAACTTTATTGTGATTAATCGCACATGTAGCCGCATATAAACATGCACCGAAGGAAAAGTGCAAAATCGGTGAATAAGCCGCCGCCGATTCAGGCGATTCCCAAAAAGAACACATTCGATGGCGACAACGACATACAATTCGAACTGGAGCTCTGCTGGTGTGTCCAGCAATTGCAAACAGCTCTGGACAGCGGCAAGCTGAGCCAAAAAATTGGTATGCCCTCAACCGAATAACATTCAGAATGCCATTAATAAAACCAAATTTAACAAATTAACAACACAGCTGAGGATACGGCCAAGAACTTGAAAACATTAACCAGTCAAACGGCGCCCCTCATTAAGAAGCGGCAGGTCATGAAGCTTGCCCTGGGCGATTACCGGCTAAAAATGCAACAGGAAGAGAAGAAAATGCTGCTAGGTAAGAAAGGAACTTCAGCTTAAATGCAAGCCAGATAGATCCTATTGATATGCTCTGGAAGCTAGGCCAGGCGAATCAAGCGATTTCTTATCTTAAGCAAAGTTAATGCTGTGTCCCATTAATGTTCTGCATTGTTGTTATTATATCTTTGTAATCGGGTCAATTCGACAAGTTTAGACATTGTTATTTGGGACTATCCAGACTATTCATTGTGCATGATATTGACTGCCTCAGGCAATAGTACTTTTCATCTGTCTGTCTCCTTCTAATACGTGAGGCATGAATCTTGCATATATTTACCATCTTTCTCGTTTACATTTCAGCTTCAAAGCAAATCAAATTTACTCCAGCTGCCGATACGAATAAGAAGTCAAGCTTTGTCAAGAAGTCAGCGCTGCTAACGTCCGGCAAGGATTTTCGCTTTGACTTTGCGCTGCCCACGGGCAACAATTATGAGCCGGATGGAAGCCAACCGGCTGGCCAGCCCGCGGCCGTGCCAGCTCAATCTGATGCGTCCGCGCTGAGCAGCAGCCTGCTAACGGGCAATGGATCCCAGTTCAAGTTCAATTTTGCTATTGACAATGCGCCCGAGGATATCAACTTCGAGGGCTTAATGTTAAATAGCTAATAGGTTAAAGCAACAACAAAAATAATGTAGTTACTATATAAATTATAAGCGAGCGTGTTGCAGCTCTCAATGTGAATGCAAACGACGGTTATTTTTGTTTCGTTTGGATGAAATGTGAATGTTCATTCTTAAATACTTTTTATTGTTTCTGCAAATACAATCGAAGCAGTGTAACTGTACAATATCAAAATATGATTCGGCGGCGTTGTCTCCTATATATAGATATAGATATATATAGATATGGGGCAGAAATGAAAACCAATTGAACAAGATACGTTTCAATGACGCGAACATAAGCCCGTTGACAATGTTTTATCAAATTGGCCGCCAGTTTGTTGTTGATAAACTTCAATTGTGTCGCCCTCTTCCATTTCTAGTGAGGTAGGTGTGTCGTTCTCATTGATCGGTTGTCCATCGAAGCGAAATCGTACCACTTGCATTGAAAGGCCCTAAAAAACAATAGAGGAAAACCCAACAAAATGAGCATATTTGATTTGGAATTTGGAACAGAAATGGAACACTTACAGCTCGGTCACAATAGGCGTTCATTAGCTTACGTAGAGGCGTGTGTTTCTTGATCTTGAATTGAACGACCGCATTATCCTGGCCCAGCACCTTCAAGTTGATGTGCTCGGTTTCAGTCTGTGATCAGATATAAAACAACATATACGATTAATAAATACAGCATACATTTATATTAACAGGAAACTGCGGCGAATGCAACTCTTCAATGTCGAATACAAATATTGGCGGCATTTTTGTTTCTTCTTTGGAAATCCTCAAATTGAATATCCCAAATGTGCGCTAATATTTGAATGCTACGCTTCAAATGTGACAAACATGTTCCATTTTTATTTTTGTTTGCCTTTGTATGTGTGTGTACATACACATACACATATATACACAACACACGCCGGCTTTATTTCGCAGCATGTTTGCATTATTATTTACGCCCCAGTTTGCTGCCAAAATATAAATGAGTTTGTCAAAGTACATCTACCTTCTTTTCCTCAGACATTTTCAAGTTGTTTTTGCAGTTCTGATAATGTATATATTATAACGGAGTGTGACAACTACAACCAACGTTGTCAGCGAAGTGAGTTTCATACAACAACAAAATCAGCGATGACCGATAACCGCTTGTGTTTTGATGTTCGCACTTTGAGCCAGTTCAATTGAGCTGGTCTCGGAGCTGAGCTAATTATGAAATGTATGTGAAAAAGCAAAAAAGTGCTGCGCTGCTCGGTTCGGAACTAGAATTAATAAACTTGTTTTCGGTGAACTGAACTATTCTTTTTTTTTTTTTACAATGAAGGGTATTCCCATCTTTGATATTTATATGAGTCTGTTTATGAGGTACTATAATTTATATAAAAATAGAAAAATAATTGTAATCTCTTCAAAAACTAAACAAAAGATAATTGATTCGGCTAAGACAAACCTATAAGCTATTTATTTAATCAATGCTTGCCCCCGTTTTAGTCGTAAATAGGCAAATGGCATTTTTGAATAATACGATAATCTTTATTCTATTAAAGGTAATATGAAAAATACTCAATATGGAAGTTATTACTTTTCTATACATAATATATGCATATATGTATGTATATAAATCTATATTTGTTTATATAGAGATATATGTATACATATATGTATATGTATATGTTACATTTACAATATTAACTCTATATTTATGTACACACGTTTTGCTTTTCTTATATTTCTTTTTCATCTTGTTGTTATTTTGTTATTTTTTTAATTGATTGAATATATTTTTGTTATACTAAGTTCGTGTACACATACACATACATACATATGTACATCTATAGCACTTTGAATTCAATGTATGTATGTATGTAGGTTTATCGTTTATTTTAATTTGTTATTGTATTCACTGATATGCATTTATTTAATTATTAATTGTTACACACATATGTATGCATATAATGTATCTATGAGTAAAAACATATTACTCGCAAGCAAAGCTGTATGCATGTGTGTATGTATGTATGCATGTACATAGCTTTAATTTTTGTATGAATAAAATGTCAATATATTGCCAACATCGCATTTATAGAGCGAATCCGACTATAGAAATTGGAATGGCAGCCTGATTATCACACAGATCACACATACATACATGCATACAAATACAAAAGAATATAGATGGATATTCTATATAATCGCACTCTGTGTACATACACATACATACATGCATACATATGCTTATACATATACAATTGCTGAGCATTATTTGATTTACATGTTAACACATACACATACATTTATCGATTCTTGGAAAAAGGATATCTAAAATTCTGGTTCACTTACACATACATACACACATGCGCGTACATATGCACTAAGTATAGTTATAATGCACATTTAGATGTTGAAAAAGCTTAGCAATTAAAATTGAAGTTATCTAAAAATATATAAAAAATTACAATCATAAATGAATTGTCATCTAACTACTTACAATCTTAATTATACGGTAACATACTTAAAAATCTTTTCTAGACATATGATTTGAATTTCTGATATACATACATACATACAGACGTATGTACACGTACATATATTCATATAGAAACACACTCCGAGGTATAAAAAGCGATTTTTTTCTTCTTTTTGTTTTTAACTACATAAAGTCGTGTGTAGCTGGGATAAGACATGAAGAACCGTGTACACATATTATAATAAAGTTTTTTAATTTAAGTGTACTTTATAAATTCTGAAAGTTTCAGCTGAATATATGTAAGTACATTTGTTATTTGTGATGTACTAACGATGTACATAAGCATGTACAATACTTGAGTTCAATTTTGCTTTGCTTTTCTTTTTGTATTGTGTGTTGTCAATATAATAAAATATATAGTATGTCCCATATATATATATATATATTTGTTTGTTTGTATATATATATATCGTGTGTGTGTGTGTGTGTGTACATATATGTATGTATAGATATCCTATTATATATAGATAGTTGCTGAATACCCGCGCTAACTAGAGATGAGCAATTTTATCATTTTAGATCTATTATAGGTGTTTTTTCCGTTTCTTCTTCTTCTTCGTAAAAACAGTAATTTGCCATTGACCGTTTAAGTTTATGAATAGACCGTTAAGCTATGTACAGTTATGCAATATATAATAAAGTTTTCTTTCTATTTACATCATTTATTTGTATTTGTATTTGCATTTGATTTTCTTTTCATTTCTGTTTTATGTTTAACCATGGTTTGTTCTATTTATAGCTATTTCCTATAATGAATTACTTTCATTTCTGTGGGTCTAACGTACATGCATACATGTACATACATATGCATGCATGCATGTCTGTACTAAGTACAGTCGTGGGTAAGAACTTATAGTGGGGTATTGTATTCTCTCTTCTCGCTTCTCAGCACTGATTTGTTTTAGTTTTATTTTTACTTATTTTTTTTATATTTTTTTTTTTCTACTCCAATAACATTTAACTACACAGAGTCGCATTTGTCTGCTTGGCTGTCTTACATTGGTATCACAATTGGAGAATGCCTATCAAGCAATCGGTTGTTTTTTCTACTATTTATTTATATTTTGTTGTTGTTGGTTTTTGTTTTGTTTTTTGTTTCTAATAATTATTATTGCACACCTATAGGTGCTTATACTGAACAATACCACCCCTCTCTGTCGCGCTCACACAATCAGGTTACATAGAAAAACTGCTCGTAGAGCCCATATGCTTGCTCTGGCTCAATGAGGCTTATCTGTTACGGAATTCGGAAGTGGAACTGGTGGCAAATAGAGTTTAGTTGTACATAGATACATATGTAGTTAATATAAAACTGACTTAACCAATATATATCTATATTAACAAGATAACTAAACGATTTGACTAACATTGAGAATCCGGTATATGTCTCAAGTTCTTGCTATATATATTCATATTCATATTCATATTCATATTCATAATTAAATATTCATTTATATGTGTGTTTATATAAAAGTACAAAATTGTTGTTGTTGTTGTTGTTGTTGTTGTTGTTGTTGTTATGCACTAGTTTATCTAAATGATTTGCTGCTTCTTGTGTTTCGTGTCAAATTGTGAATGCATATTTGTATGTTTTGTAGGTACTTTTGTACTACCATGATCAAAATACTGGGATCAAATGATGTTTATAGCGAAATCGGAACGCCTATAGGTATCATATTCAATTCAGCTCCACATACATATATCTGCAGAGAGAGAGAGAGAGAGGGAGAGAGAGAGAGAGAGGGAGAGAGAGAGTTCGCAATCATAAATCCACATCGCATTTGATCACAGTAGCGTTTAGTTAGAAGCTTGTTTAAGGTACTTAAATGTTTCTTTAAATTTCCATTTCAGTGGTAAGTTTAGATACACGCACACACGTGTATATTATGTTGTAGGTACATATTCGAATACAATTCAATAGTTGTTAAAATTAATTTTTAGTTTCCATTTTGCATAACAAAACTGAATTATCATAATAATCGAAAAAAAAAAACAATAATTGATTAAATCACGCACATTTATCGAATACAAATACTTAACAAATTTTCTTCTTTTTTTTTTTCGCTATATAGAAGGAATTGTTGACCGTAGTTAAATTGTGAATATCTTAACTGTAGAGTAAAAGTATGCCCCGAATTTGTTTGCATTTCGGTTAGAATTCAAATAAGGGTCTTTCCCAATCGTATTTACATATACATATGTATGTCGCGTTATAAGGTAGAATAAGTGCACATACATACACACACACATATATATACATAGTGATTATTATTATTAATATATGCATGTATGTATGTGTAAGCTATAAATAAAAATGCTTATTAGTTTTGGTTTGTTATTTGCATAAATTTCTCGTTTGCTCTTGTTTTTTTTTTTTTTTTGTTTTCTTTTGGGAAATTAAAGTAAACATTTATATAGCACAAGGTATATTACGTAAGCCCGTATAAAAAGTATAAAATTGTTTTTTACTTTACTTGTTTTTATAAAAATTACAAATGTTCATATAAAAATAGATATACATATAAAAAAATGAAGTCAAATAGTAATACGCACACACATATAGCACACAAAAAAATTGTTTAATTATAACATCATCTGCTTTGTCATCGGCGAACCGAAGCTGGCATACCCTAGGAAAACTGGGCTTAGGCAATGCCTTAGAGATTTCTGTCAATTGAACAAAAAATACAAAAGATACACACATTGATTTTGAATAACATCTTAAGCAGACAATTTGACAAATACATAAGATATAGACTACGTTTTGAAATGACATCTTAATCTGACAATTTGAGAAATACAAAAGATACAGTCTATGATTCTGGTTAACATCGTTATCTGACAATTTGATAAACACAAAAGGCATATGACAATTAAATAAGTACAAAAGATATATACTGTGATTTTGAATTACATCGGAATTTGACAATTAAATAAGTACAAATGATTTAGACTATGATTTTGAATGACATCGTACTCTTGCAGCTGTAGCAACTCTTGTCAGTTAACAAAGAAATCGATTAGGTTTTACAATACGTAGTCGTTGCTTTTTTGGTTCAAAGGGTATGCCATATGTCGTTCCTATGTTATTTTGTGATACACTTTTTGTTTTGGTTAGTTTTTAATCCTTGACTCTTATCGTGATACAAAAACGAACTTATCTCTTAGGTTATAACTAATTAAAAACTTAATGTCAGGGTTTTCCAATTTTTGGATTAGAGTTTTGTTTTCTTTTTTTTTTTTTATCTTTTCCTCTTTTGTTGTTCTTTTTTGTTTTATATAGATATTTAACAATTGGAAAACAATAAGTTTAGAAGTATCTAAAAAGGATCTCGATCTAGTTGTTTTCTTTTTCTTTTCTATTTTTTTCTGCTGTCGTGCCTTAAATGTTTGTTTGTATGCATTTATGTATGTACTTCTATGTATGCACGTGTATGCCTATGGCTACACATATGTGCATACAAACATATGTAAGCCACACAGATATCTAAATATGTACATCCGTTAAGTTTTCAAAGCGTTTTGGTAAATAAATTCCACATTACCATATAGATATATAGGTATACATATATATATATATATATATGAAGTAATGTAAATAACAAAATAAATGTGTGCGAATGTCAGCCCGAATATGCCAATTAGTAACATACACACACACCATATACATATGCATGCATGCTTGAGCATGTGCGTATATCTGGTATATATGTATATATACTATATAGATGCATATTCGGCAAGTACAGAGCACAAAGCTTTAAATACACTATCTATCCATTTTGTATATTTTTTGCTTGTTTGTTAGTTTGATGTTGTTTTTGTTGGTGTTGCTGTTGTTTTTGCTGTTATTGCTGTTGCTTTTGTTGTTGTTTGTTTGTTTCTTTGTTGGTTGTTTGTTTGTTTGTGTTTTTTTTTTTTGAAGTAATACATGAGTTAGGATATTGCTATTTCAAATGGTTACAGTGAGACTTGCTATATCGTCGCTTCATTTCCTTCGTCCGTCTCTGCACTGCCCTGACTTTTGTACAACGTTCTGACAATAGTGTATATATTCTATATATTCTAGATGGGGGTAGGGGGAGGGGTTTTTTGTGGGGCCAGTTTCTGGCGCCCATTCAACATTTATCTTCAATTCAAATTAAGATGCCTTTGGCCGCTTGCGTTTGGAACAATCCTCGTTCGTCGTCTCTTTGTTGGTTTGCATATTGTTTGGCGATTCTCGTGCTTCTGTCTCTTGCGGGTCACAGTGACCTTAGCTGGGTGGGCGACGGTAGCTGCCTAGTTGGCAACCAGTAGCTGCTGGTAGGAGGATCCGGTGCCATAGAACGAGCTGAGACCATCAATTAGTTTACTGTTGCTAGCTGCAGCAGCTGTCGAGTCCTGAGTGTTGGCTCCGTTCGATGTGGCAGCCGTTGTGGCAGCGGCAGTGGCAGTGGCAGCGGCAGCGGAACTTGCCGCAGATACGGTCGATGCAGCCGTTGCAGCGATTGTGTTCAGACCGGGCACAACGCCAGCTGTAGGCGTGGCTATCGGACTATTATCTGTTGATGATTCGCCAGTAGCTGCGCCGCCAGCTGAATTGCCAGATTCCTCGACACCAGCGCTAGCAATGCTGCAGTCCGTCTCTAACCCAAAGCAGCTCTCGCTGCTGTTGGCATGCTCCAAATTGTTTTTAAGCTGTTGCTGCTGCTGCTGTTGTTGTTGCTGCTGTTGCTGCTGCTGTTGCTGCTGTTGTAGCTGCTGTTGTTGCTGCTGTTGCTGTTGTTGTTGTTGCTGCTGCTGCTGCTGATTGATCAATGTGGTGCCGCCTGCGGCATTGGCATTAACGTGACCATTGGCAAAGTAACATGGTTCCAGGTAAGTACTGAAGCTATTGCTGGCCGCAGCTGCAGTGGCAGCTCCACCGCCGAACAGGCTAAGACTGGCTGCATCCGGATTGAAATGTGGCTCAAAGAGGCTGCGCTGACCGTTATACTGTGGATACAGACCCATCGAAATGTTGGGATAATAGAATGGATCAGCAGCAGCAGCAGCAGCTGCCGGCCCGCCGCCAGACGCGTTGCTTTGATTGCCACCCAATGCCAAGGGATTGGGTGAGAGCGAACGCGCCGGCGAGACGGCATCCAATGCACCAAATGCCGAAGCCGATGAGCCGCCAACGCTGTGGCCATGATGCAGCTGCTGTTGCATGGCGCGCTGCTTAATATAATTGGAGAATTCAGTGGGCGACATGCGATACGAGCTGCTGCATAAAAGGTAAAAGAATTGCGATTGAGTTAATACATTTAAAGGCTCGCATTTAGACAACGCTTTTGCCCACCTATTGGTACGCTTGGAACTAGTCTTTAGTTTGGTGCTTCCGAATTTCGTCTGAGCAAAGGTGGCCGTTGTGAATGTTAGCGGAGCCTGAGCAGCGCGCTGCACAAAGGCGGCGGCTGTAGCGGTGGCAGTCACATTGTTACTGCCAGATAGACTGGCACCGCTGGAGCCACCGCCATTGGGATTCGGGCTGCCCTTATATGTGGGCGAGCTTGAGGCGGCCGAGTGCGGTGAGGAGCCAGACGGCGGCAATGGCAACGGTAGCGGCAGTGCCTTTGGGCTTAAGCTCAAATTGTTCATGGTCGTGTTGACCACATCGATGGGACGAAAGCATTGTGCCTCTGGATTGAACGTTTTGGTAACCTCACGATCGGCCGAGTGGCTATCCTCGTGATTATCATTGTTCTCCGTATAGAGTATCTGTGCGGGAATATGCAATTGTAATTGTTGTATATCCCATATATATATTTTAAATATCTACCTTAACAGCGCCTTTCTCGCCAATGCGATACGAGACCTCGCCCGGATCAACCCAGACGGACAGCTCATTGGGTAGATTCTCAAGTATATCGCTTATAGGTACACCACTTTCACGAGCTGCACGCGCCAGTACCGAATCAATCGGATCACCAGTTTTGAGACAACGATATGCCGAACCCTAACAAAACAAAAGGAATACATATATATACATATATATATATCATATCATAGGTGTTGGCTCACCTTAAAGGGTTTCTCTGGATACCAGTGTCCTTGGAATTTGTCGCGTAAAGCCTTCTCCAGTTCCTCGCCAAATATATTGACTCGTCGTCGTGGCAATTTATTATATAGATACGAAATGACAAAATTCAAAGCCACTTGTATTTCAATATGCATTTTGATAGCAGCCTTTGCGCTAAATACGATCGCTTGATCTATGTAACAATCCGGCCACTCGATTTGTATCTCAATCGGAGATTGGTTTTTGTTTTGTTTTTTATTGTTGTTCTTTTTCGTTTTGTGGTGGAAGTGATTTTTATGTTTTATTGCGATCAGCGAATTGTGCAATTAGCAGCTTGCGATTTGCCAATTGCGAATTCCGAATACTTTGTTTATTTTATTTATTTATTTTTTTGTTTTAAAGAACGTTTGCACTTATCATCCGCAATATGATAGAAATTTGGAATAGTGTTTCAAAATCTTTGGCTCCTCAAGTGTGTGTTGTTGTGGGTGTGTGTGTGTTTGTGTGTGTGTGTGTGTGTATTTGGTAGTAATTGTTATTAATTTATCGGGCTTTCGTTTTTTTTTTCAATAGTGCTGTTTTTTTTTTTTGTTATTTTTTTTTGTTATTTTTTTTGCTTTATGTTCAATGTTATGTGTATTGCACGTTGTATTGAATATATTTATTAAACTGTTTCTCTGTGTCAAATGAGAATTGTGTTTTTCTCTCTGGTTTGACTAAGTGTTCCCGGGTTAGTTGATGTAATAAGCGTAGATTTCTAGATCGTCCCATAAATATGTATACATATACACATGTATGTAGTCCTATGTGTACGCATACCTTAAACATATATCTCTTCTAGACGGTAATGGTTTTTCATCGGTGTTATTTACGTATCTCTCTCTCTCTCTCTCTCTATGAATATATACATACATATATATATGTTATATATATATATATATGTATATCAATTATGTATATATTTAGCTATGCGTGTATGTATGTATTAGACGTCTATTGTTTGTCTTTACAATTGTTTTTGGCAGAACTGTGTTAGATTTCTCAGAATTATCTGTATCCTTAATGCCAAGCGGTGTGCATTAATCATAAGAAATATGTGAATGTAGTTATGTACCTGCAAAACAAAACAAAAAAAATCATTGACAAATGTTATGTGATTCAAATTGATGTAACTTAAGAATATATATATACCAAATGTTGCATTATGTTATGCACCAAAAAGTCAAGGCTCAGGCTTCTAGCAAGCTCTACCCTATAAATTTCACTCTGTGCACAATTTATGAAAGTCGCAAAGACAGGCGATATTTAAAAGAATGTAAATATTGCATTCTATTATTCACAAGATGTCAAGGCACAGAGTTCTAGTTTATCATATTACAAATTTGTACATCGCTCTATTTAAGTTTTACCCTCTAAATTGCACATTTGCATTATGAAAATCGCATAGAGAGGCGATATTTTAATGAGAGCAGTTACCAAAGGGGGCTTGTTAAGAGAGAGAGAGAGAGAGGGGGGGGGATAGCAAGAGTCATATAGAGAAGAGAGAGCGAGAGAGAGAGAGAGATAGAGAACTAAGAAACGAAGCGCGTGAGAAAGTTACGGAGCGAAGGAGCATAGCTCCCTTATATCATTTTAATCATTTTTAATGATAATTGGCGAGTGTGTTTTGTCTGAAACAAATTCCGAAATGTAACTAAAGAAACCGATAATGAAAAAAAATAGAGAAAATTCCCAATTTTCAACAAATTGCATTTAATAAAAAACACTAAACAAAGCACTCGTTGCTTTTGATGTAAATTTAAACCAACTTCCATTCGTTGTACACCTCAAAACATGCTGACATTGTTTTAACAAAGACTCTAGAAACAAACACAAAAACACAATAAAACATAAAACAATCCAAAAAAACAAAAAACACTCAAAACTAAATAAAACTACATATAACAATAAAAAATTACAAATAAATTCACAATAAATTTGGCATAAAGATGGCTAAACGAATACGCGATACAGATGAAAAATGTCAGCGCAAGAAAAATATGCGACTGCGTTTCAAGAAATTGGTTCGTGCTGTCATGTTGAATCAGCAATGGCTGGATGAGCCCGAAGAGCAGGGCATCGTCATGAATGCCAAAAAGAATGTCGCTTTTCTCATCAGGCAAAAGCGCAAGACTGGGCTTTTGACTGTTGCGGTAAATAATGTCGAGTATCTTGTTTATTATACTTTTTCATATAAATATATACCCTTCGATCGTCTTTTGGGCAGGAGAAAGCCCTGCTTCGTACTCCACATGCATACCGCACTATAGAGGAGCGTAAGAAGTTGTGCCTGATTGTATCTGGCTTGTCGTGCTTCAATAATATACCGCCGGTAGGTGTTACCTAATTGCCCGATAGTATAGCTCTAATGCTTGGGCTTGTAGAAACTGCGGGCCCGATTGATACCGGTTCTAAAGTTTGCCACTATCGGAGGAGATCGTGTGCTCATCCGGCAAGGTGATCAGCCGATTTACGTGTATTTCATGATCTCCGGCGAGGTCGAAATGAAGAAATCCATCTACGACAAAGTGAGTTCGTCTAAAAGATTGACTGACTGATTAGTGGAAACCTTTAACCAAAACAGCTTTAATCATTTCCATTTAATTGGTTTTTTTATCTATGCCTAAATTCTTTTTCAATTTACATTTCCCCTATGTCGACAAATCCACGCCATTGGGTGAATTTAGCTTTACATTATTATAGATGTTTAATAGATAGTTAAGATTTTAAGCAAGACGCTTCTCTAATGATATTTTGTTCATGTTTTTAACCCGAAATTTCACCACATAAATGAATATAAGCAGCGATCTTTTCAATGGTAAACAAAAGAATTGTCTTATGTTCGTTTTTCGCACTTTTTCCACACTTGCGGGTGGATTTCCCGAGAACTCTGTGAAAATTAAAGTTTCCCAGATCTGTCAGTCAATCATGCCAAACAGTTTTATGTGTAGAGAGAGATATAATCTGCTTGCTATAGAACACTAGAAAAATCACATTGGTGTCAGAGGCCATTATGGGTGCTGGAGATATCATAGGCGAGGTTGAGCTCCTTGAGGACTGCACCAGAATAAACACCTATGTGGCACTATGTAAGTGCTAAACCTGAACTAAAAAGATAGAAGTAGACTTAACATTTAACTCTGCAGCGCCCTGTGAAGTATTGTCAATAACCGACGATGACTTTCGGAGTATTTTGGGTCCTTACATGATAAAGCAATGGCACGAAAAGAAAATAGCTCTCAGATCGCTAAACTATTTCGATTTTCTAACAGACGAACAGGTTTAAGAGTTGCCCACTTTCTCTAAATACAAATTAACTATGTTTGATAATCCTATACAGATTGTGCGTGCTTGCAATTACTGTCAGCTAGCACAATACGATCCGCTGCAGTCCATATACTCGGAGGACAGGGGCGCTGTTAGCTGTGTCCATTTCATTTTGAGCGGCGAATGTGTTATTTTACAGTGCCTCAAAATGCTTGTAAGTATAGGACGCGATATAATTATACACAGTTGATGTATACATATAATCTGGTTTTTAGCAAGTGGTCAAGGCGGATGGCACCAGAACATTCGAGCTGATCAATGTCAAGGAAACGGGACAGAATCTCTTTGAGAATCCCTCAAAATCGATGAGAGCACTGAGCACATCATTTATTGATTATGGAAATACGAAAGACAAAATGTTGGTGGATTCGGTTTTCAATATCAACGATCTATTGGCTTCTTCGTCGGAATTCGAAGATGAGGAGGCATTGCAGCAGAAGAAAGCGGTAAAAGCCACAGAATTATCATACTTTTTGCCTGACAGTCTGACAATTCTAAAGAATTTGACATTTTAGAAGCGTAAAATGGGACTTCGCGAAATCGAGGCAGCGTGTGGTTTTATTCGCAATGATATGGCTGTGACTATTAAAAAAATGAAGCTTAAATCGATTGTTAGGCGAAGAACGACTGTGGTTCCAAGGCGATTGACTACGTATTATCCGCGCCCGTATGTGGACGAAAGTGAATCAATAGACGAAGATACATCGTTCAACTACATAGAAGAAGATTATGTTGTGGAAGAAGAACGAACCGATTCTGAAGCAGAATTAATGTCGATACGATCAACGAAAATCTCAAGAGCTTCGATCTCGAGAAGAAACACTGATGCATCAAGACGTTCCACAGTTGGCAAACCGCTTCCGATCATAAAACAAAGTCCTAAGACGAGCCGAATTGCGGTTCGCATCGAAACGGAAGATTCTGTTGGGGTTATTTCCGATTCGGAAGACTTCTCAAGCTCGGGCTCTAGTCACGTCTTCGAGATGGAGAAAGACAGTCAAATAATTGTAAATGCCAGTCAATTTAACCAAATGGCGATTTACTCATTTGCCTTCTTCTTCTTCTTTTTTTTACAGCCCACGGAGACACGTTTCATAGACGTGGGCTCCCTGACCTATGGCGGTATTTTCGGTCTGGGTGAGAAAATGGCCCATCGCGTTATAATGGCACGCACCGTGGTACAGTGCCTGCTATTGCCACGCTACTGGCTGTTCGAGGAGGAACAGAATCCGGGTCACATCTGGAAGCGTCGCCGATTTTATCTGGAGGGCAGCATACCCTCGCGCGAGGAGCTATTCAAAGATTTTATAAAAACCCGTCGCTGGGAAAATTTCAAGCGTGACTATGTGCAAAGCACATTGAATCCAAATAGCGTGAATAGCACCCAGCCCGAAGATATACCGATAATATGCCGCATTGTTGAGACCAGAGATGATATTTAGAAACGCGTGAAACAAGGGCCATCTAAATTATAATGTGTAGAACGAAATAACAAAACAAGTAAAGAAAAAAACACAGATAGTATGTATATGATATGTTAACTAGGAATATACATATATGTGTATGGACATGGAGTATATTATATATGTACTAGCCCGAGGCTTTTGCCCGGGCAAAGCGTATTTTATGAACTATTTTTTTGAAAGTCAGTAAAAGACGCATTCAATCATTTACTCTTTTTTTTTTCTTTTCATTTTAAAGCAGATTGAACGCAAAATAATATTTTTCTCCCTACACCTTCCCGCTGCTGAGTAGGCTTCCCATGAAAAATGTTAGAGCTCTTTTAAAATCCCGTCTTAATTTTAACTTTCATTCAACGTCAGTCAGTCAATCCTGATTGATTAAGCAACTGTTATTTCTCACAGGTATTGCTCTGGCCCGCTATTCAATGAGTTTTTTTTTTATAGCTCATGAAAAACGGCCTTTGCTGGCACTTAAGTTTATGCACACACACACACACACACACACACACACACACACACACATACACAGACGCAGTCACACACACGCACAGCTGTGCGTAAACATCATATAGCGGCAGTTGTGCCCCTTGTCGCAGACAAGTGCACAGCACGATGCACCTAAATGTCAGCCGCGAATATAGGTTAACCATGGCCACCAATGAGCACAGCCAGCGCCAAAACTAGTCCAGGTGAGAGCGAAAGCCGAAATGCAATTCGTAACTGGAGCAACGACGAGAGCTTTCGCAAAGAGCAAAGTGCCGTTCAGCTAGCGTCTGCTGCCGTTGTTGTTGTTCTTGCTGTTGTTGTTGCTGTTGTTGCTGGTGCGTATGCGCAATGACATTTAAAAGGGTGCGCTTAAACACGCACACACAGCTAAGCGCGAGTATATATATATGAATACATATATATATACACATATATACACACACATTCAGTTGACTCGTGCTTTTGCTTTTACTGCTGCAGCTGTGTAAAATGCATTCGCCCAAGCGTTATGTACATATATATATATATAGCATACATATAAACGTATATACATGTATGTACATGAATACATATGCATTTGTACATATGTATGTAGACGCGCACTGGCTGAAGGCCGCACATTTCAAAGCTCAGCCCAGTAGGAGACTTAGCTTAATAATAAACACACACACACACACACACACACACATACACATGTGCATGCATATGCATAGCACACGCCGATTTGCCCATACACTATGACACCTTAATGAAAGACAAAGCGAAATAGTTGCCATTATTCGCATTTCTTAGTTTCTTTTTTTTAGAATTTGTTTGTGTAATATGAATTATTTTCAAATCAATAAAAAATAATATCTAGAACCGAATTTATGAGAGTGGATTCTAGTCGTATAAAACAACTTTCTATCTTAAGTAAAATAGTTAAAAGTCAATTACTCTTAGTTACCAGGCTCATTACCGGGAACTCTGTAAATTACTGTGTTCAATTATTTCACTAATAGAAACGACTCTATAGAAGTAATACTCCAGTAAATCTAACACTTGGAGTAATATAGAGAGTGTGGCTATATACATACATACTTATGTATAATCATATGCATTACGGGTATTCATTTCAAAATGTCTATTAATTTAATACATACATATATACATGCATATAAAAATATATGTATTTTCTGCTTGATTTTTTGGTATACATATGTATATGCAAAAATTAAAGACTAGCATGTTTTTGCTTAAAGCTTTTCCAGTCTTTTGTCTGTCATTGAGTTGCGCTTATCTCTATTTGACCTTCAGTCGTGCAGGGCTCACCGTTAGCTATCAAGGGCTAGCCCAATAATGAGAGAGACTCAGAGAGACTGATGGATGTTGTTAACACTGGAATGCCCAAGCAAATATCTTTCCTTTTACAACTCTATACAAGCTGCCTGCCATTCAACCGTTAAATGTTGCTTAAAAAGCACTTGTGCATGTGTGTATAAGTGCGATGCACCGCATGTGGTATGTATGTATGCATATGCATATATGTATGTGTGCATGTGTGTGCTTCGTATGAACTTGAATAAGCTCAATTTTCACTTTTATTTAAACACATGTACATGTACACATACATATTCGCATGCACAAGATGCAGGCAGATCTTAACATAGCGCAAGCAGAGAGATGACAGTTTCTCCTAATTAATAAACCCCTTTGGGTAGGCAACATCCGGACGATAGCTGGCGGTTTATTATTGTTTATTTATATGCGAATATGTACACACGATGCGTACGTGTCCGTGTCTGTGTGTGTGTGTGTGTGTGTGACTATATATAAACTGTTCACAGTTGAGTCAAAATGGCGTCGTCATACCTTTTAAATCAACCTTTAAAATTGTTGGCCCAGATTTTATTGATTTTTATTGTGTGGCAAAGAGCAGCCAACGACGACGCCGCCGCCGACGACGACGTCGACGTCGACGTCGACGACGACGATGACGACGGCACAGGCGTTAAAAGAGTGCGAGAGAGAAAGCGATAGCTGAAAGCCGAGCGAGAGAGGCGCAGATGTTCTTGTGTTTACTTTCACATGGCATTTTATGTTGGCTGGAATGTTGTTCATCATCATCATCACGAACATCCTCATCATGAATGAATGGATGCTTGGCTGGATGATGATGATGATGAGGGTTATCTGCTCAGTTGGTGTAAGCAACAAATTGCCAAAATGCTCATATACATATGTCCCAGAATACTTCAAGCAAAATTCTATTTATAAAAGCAACGAACCTACAGCGCCTCAAAGCTGCATAATACAGTGAAAGCTCGCTTGAGCGGATACCCAGGATACCCAATAAATTAAGTTTGACTGTCTAACAAAATAGATACATACATGTATGTATGTATGTCAACAATTTAATATGAATTTAGCTTGTTATCATTTTTTATTGAAATTTGTAGCAATTGCTGCAAGAATCAAAAAGGATATGGAAATTTATGAAACTGGAAATACTCTATTTTGGTCCCAAAAACATCGGATATAATCCGAATGTCTCTCTACCATTTGATTTTTGCGAAAAGTATTGGAAAAATAAAAATTGGAATGAACAAATACTACCGATGTTTGCATAGCAGAACTTGTCCATTCATAGAGGCTTCACTGTAGCTCATAATGTGTCTGTGTGTGTGTGCTTGCATTTATAAGCAGCGCCACCTATAGCTCATATAATGAGCGCTTAGATAAAAGCATTTCCCGGAAAAGGTTCCCCATGACCAGAATCTAAGCCACGTTTTTTCTATTATCGAGGCAAAATGTACTCAAATAATTTTATGCTAACGCGATGACATCTTATCTATTCAATTCACTTATTATTTATCGCTTTTAAATAACGGTTTGTCTGTTTTTTATACCCTGAACCCATTAAAAATGGGTATAAGGGTATATTGTATTTGTGCAAAATCCAAATGTATGTAACAGGCAGAAGGAAGCATCTCCGACTAAAGTATATATATTCTTGATCAGCATCAATAGCCGAGTCGATCTAGCCATGTCCGACTGTCTGTCCGTCCGTCCGATCTCAGAACCTATAAGAGCTAGAGACTTGAAATTTTAGATGTAGATGCTCCTAGTTCCCGCGCAGATCGAGTTTGTTTCTGATAATCGATAACTTGCTCCGTTTCCAAGCAATCGATAAAATATCGATATCGATATCATGTTTTTGGGCAATTTTGGTAAATAATAAGAGCTAGAGTCACCAAACTTGACATATAGCTTCTAAAATAGAATATATATATGCATTTGATGTTGGAAGAAGAGGGTTCAGGGTATCGCCTAGTCGGGAGCTCCCGACTAGAACCTCTTGCTTGTTTCCAATTATGAATGCTCTCATACTCGAATATCTTTCGTTCAACAAAGGCATTCAATATAAGTGCAAATACAAGGTTATTGGAAACAAATGATATATTAATGAAGTTATTCGCGTGAATCTAAAATTATCCATATTAAATCTAATTTAATGTTTTAAGACTCTGCTCAAAGAGCTTGAATTTAAATGAAGCCTTAATGCTGTTATTCCTACATTTACCGTAAAATGATGAGAAGTTTGCATTTTTTATAATTCTTTTAATACTCTATACTTTACTCTTTGTTATTTCCTTTTACACATGTGTATTGTGTTACCCTGCAGGCATTGAAAATGTCTAAGATGGGGTATATTGGTTTTGAGTATAACAGGCAGAAGGACGCATCTACAAGCCGCAGTAGATACATAAATACATATTTATATTCATGGTTGGCATCAAAAGAAGCGTAAGAGAATATATATTCCATAAGCTGGGCTCAGAAAAAGCCCAGCCACTAAGTAAAATGCATTGCTTGCAGCATGCACAGGGTACCGCCTAGTCGGGCAATCTTGTTTGCATATGGTTTTTTTTTGTTTTTTGTTTTGCTTCCTTTCTGCGGTCTAGAAAAGTTTTGCATTATTACCGATATGTGGAATATGACATATTATGGCGTATGGCGTATGGCGTATGACGTATGGCACAACAAAGTGTTTACAAATGTGTTAGCTTTAGAATTGCGTGATATTATGACATTGTCGTGCAGTCAATTAAGAGTGTAAGAGTAGTTGTTGTTATTGTCGCTTTCTGGTTTCACCAATTAGGTGGATTTAAGTTAATTAACTCTTAAGCTGTCGATTATGAATACGCAGTGATAATGGACAGGCAGGTTGCTATGTTGAGGCATTTGCCACTCTCATATCTACATACATACATATGCGTGTGTGTGTGTGTGTGTGTGTGTCTACGGATCTGAGTGGCCTTCAAATAGCTTGTTTGTCGGTAATTAGAGCGTACGTACCATATATGTGCATATGTATGCATGCATCTATACGAACTAGTATGTACATATGTACATACGTATGTGTACATATGCACATGCATACGTATGTATATAAAATGGGAGGACGTTTCATTTTGTTTTGTGCCACTTTGTTGGGCATTTTTTGTGTGCCTCTTTGTTTTGTTCTTGTTTATTTTGTATGTTGTCAATAATATGGCTGTCTATGTAAGTAATCCAGTTCACGTGTAACTGTTAAAAACAGTTATTGTTACATCACGCTCTCTGAGTGCACTTTGGTGCCCAAAAACAAATTCCTATTTTCTAACTGGGAGCTGCTCGTGGGAGAAGGCACAGCAACAGCGGGCTCTCAAC